TTTCAGATGCAGGAGCTCCGGGCGGCGTTGTAGTAGGTGTGTCCTTTTGACCTGCAAGCATGGACGCACCGGGGGACGTTATCCCCAGTAGCGCGTGTGTCATCGCCGCTACACCGAGCTGGGATGTGTCGGGGCGCGGGATCCCGGGTGTTGCCGTTGCCCCGGCGGGCCCGGACGCGTCAGGGAGCAGGCTCGCGGATGTGGAAGCCCCAAGAGGCATTGTAGTGGGTGTCGCCTTCGTACCGGGGGGTTGGGATGCATCGGGGGGAGAGATCGAAGTCGTTGCGGGCATCGTCGTCGTCCCACCGAGCTGGGATGCGTCGGGGCGCGGGATCCCGGGCGTTGCCGTTGCTCCAGCGGGCCCGGACGCGTCAGGGAGCAGGCTCGTGGATGTGGAAGCCCCAAGAGGCATTGTAGTGGGTGTCGCCTTCGTACCGGGGGGTTGGGATGCATCGGGGGGAGAGATCGAAGTCGTTGCGGGCATCGTCGTCGTCCCACCGAGCTGGGATGCGTCGGGGCACGGGATCCCGGGTGTTGCCGTTGCCCCGGCGGGCCCGGACGCGTCAGGGAGCAGGCTCGCGGATGTGGAAGCTCCAAGAGGCATTGTAGTGGGTGTCGCCTTCGTACCGGGGGTCTGGGATGTGTCGGTGGACGTGATCGCGGGGGTAGGCGGTGCCAATTGTTTCAGAGTCCATGATACATCGTCTGCTACCTCTTGAAGGGCCAGAGCCTCTCCGCCATGGGCCAGCCACCACGAAAGGCACATGATGGCTATGAAGAGCCCATTGCTGCCGCCAAGGAGCAGATCCTCCCAGTCCGAGTCTGAGTCGACAGTGCGAGGAAGAGGCCAGGTGAAATCTTCGGCACAACGGAAGTCGGGTTGAAGACGGCACCACCAGCGTTTCGCTGCAGTAGCGAAAAGGGTGATGTTCTTGATCTCGGGAGGACGGCCGTACTGTCGCCCACCCTTGATCCATTGCTTCACCTCGTCAGGGCGGTTCTTGGTCGGCAAGCGCTTCCTGCTTGAAGACTAACGTGAGATGAGTGGCAAGTACGCCACTAGAAGAACAGATACTCACTTGATTCCCCGACGTCAACATCACATGCTCAAACCTCTTCCAGAGCTCCAGTAAGTCCTTCCACCATTGCGCGTCGCTTACACCTTCTAGGTAGGCTTGGGCTTCAACCATCCATTGAGGAGTTGTGGCTTCGCTATCGATTGCCGCCTTCGCTTCATCTAGTGTCTTGCCATGATTGAGCTGTTCCAGCACGGCACGGTTTCGGGCGATGTTGGCATAGCGTTGCGCATCGTACGACAGTGAAGACGCTGGAGAGTGCTGGACAGGCGGAGAAGACGGCGGAGAGCCTTCAGGGGAGAGAGGAGCAGGAGCAGGAGCAGGAGCAGGAGGGCTGGGGTCTGAAGACGTAGACGTTGGTGGATGAGACGAGGAACCGGGTGCCTGGGGACCGTGAGTGCCTTCGGCATCTGCCGGTACTGTGTCAGGCTCGTCACTCGCTTTGCTGTGGTAGATCGCGGAGAGCTGCTGAGGTAGAAGGGGATCTGGAGGCTAAGGTGAGTTCCAATAACACTCTCAAGGGTTGACTTGACTCACCGAAGCATTTGGCGATGAAGCTCTCGAAGGAATGTTGAACCGTGGGCCATTCCTCAGACGACTGGGACCAAAGGTTTCCATGCGTGAGTGTTTCCCCATTCATGATCCTGCATTTTGTGTTAATACGTGCAGCGCCGAAAAAAAATCCTCAACTCACGAGAGGGTCAGAAGATCACCGGTTTCCGGGGACGGCCCTCCTAGCATGAACGCACCCTTGTACCCGGTCTGCTCCTCTATCGCCTTCAGCACATCCAGAGCAACACGTCCGAGGTCTCCGATGACGCTGCACGAATGGTCGTCAGATGAGAGACTGAAAAGCGACAATGTGGTGGTACGTACTGCTGCAATGTAACCACTTTCTCTCGCACTGTCTCCTTCTCGCCGGTCATGAGCTCCTCGAACACCAGCGGCGTCGGAAGGCGCTCCATGTAGTGCGTGTTTCGGTACTCTTCAACTTGACGCTTGACTGAATCCGACTCCAGGTCCAGAAGACGTTCGCATTCTTTGTTCTTGAACGGCCACATGTCGAGGGGTTTGCCAGCGTCGGCACTGAATGCGATAGTGGGATGTTCACCGCGAAGGTAAGATGCGTAGCTGTCCTGGATCTTCTGCTTCAGCTCGTTCTTGAATAGGTGCATATAGGCCTGATGGGGTCTGAGTATCTGAGGCTTCCGACGCTGCAAGTCGAGAAGCGGTGTGGGTTTCCGACCGCTACTCATCGTTTCGCGGCCATTTCCGTGACCTCGGCCGCGGCCGCGACCACCACGGCGCGGTTTATTCCCCCTGTTGCGGTTATAAAAGAGGCACTCTATTTGCTGTCGATGAATGGTGAGTTGGGGAAGTGCATGACAGTGACTCATCACTCACGTTACCTAGCACGAGCCGTTTGTTTTCCTGGGCCTTCTCAACGCTACCGTTCGCCTCGTTGACTTCTTCTTCAGTCGGCGGCGCAATCGGCCATTTTTCGGTAAAGGCCTCGAGCGTAGAACTGAAGAAGACCCGGACGTCTCCACCTGCCTGTGCGTTCAGAAAGGCTGCATTGCGGTCACCGAACCACACCTCTTGGTCGTTGGTGGTCCACCTCGGGCGTCCCATATGAGCAAGTTCACGGAAGTCAATGAGGGAAGAAGTACGCCTGGGACAAGAGGATCAGGTGAGGTGGGCGAGGAGGGGGCTTGATCCACGCGGCATGGCCTGGCGGCGCTGATATAGAGCCTCAGCCTACCCGATGAACGAACGCTCGCGCGCATGCCGTCACAGAAGCGACGAGGTGGATATTTAGTCCCTTGAGTCAGCTCAGTCCCACGTCAGCGTGTTTCTCTTTCCCCCCACCATCGCTGCGTCTCATCCTCTTCAACTGCCATGCATATTTCGTCTCCCCCCGACCCTCCTGAACGCCTCAATGGCTCTTCGCGCAGAGGAGCCTCCCAGGGTGAGTATTTGCAGCACGAGTGTGATCTGCATACTAAATCCGAAGTAGGCGGCTCTCACTCCCGAAACAATCAAACCCACAGCCGCGCTGCCCACACCGACGACCTCCCCGACCTCGCCGCCCTATCCTTGGGCGACCCGCCGAGCCCAGCCGTTCCCGCCCAGCGAGAGGCAGATCGACCCACTCCCCCAGCTCAAGTCCGTATAACTGTCTCTCCAGGGGCAGTTGTCAACGTCTACACCCGGGCGGGCACTGAAGGCCAACAGCGCGCCACGGTTACCCCGCTTACCTCGCTGGGGCGTCGTGTCATCAGTGGACCATTCTCCCAAGTCCCCACGGCTCAGTTGGGCGGCTCACTATCCATCCCGGCGTCCCCCATCCGTCGCCGCGCGCAGGGCGGTACATCCCCCGCTCCCAGCCGTTCCCCGGTGCTTTCCTCCCCTGCCCGTGGCCGGGTCCCAGCCCTTGGATCCCCCGCTCGTGGTCTCACTCCAGCTCCCTCCGCCCACATCCGTACCCCAGTCTCTCCTGGGCCTATCCTGAACTCCGGCTCATCGCGCACCCTCGCGGGCGCATCTGCTCGGCTGCGCTCGACGCCCCTTCCCTCGCCTCTTCTCGGCCTGTCCCAGATCCAGCCTGAGGTCAACGCGCCCCGTTGGGGCTCTCCGCTGCCGTCAGTGGCTGCCCATCCGATCATAATTGATCGTCAGTCTGGTATGCGAGTTCCTTATGTGCACGACGTTTTGGATTGTGACTGATGAATTCTACGTATAGACAACAACAACAGGTTCTATGACGTCGACCATAGCGAGGGCGAATACGAGAATAGTGTCTCCGATATAAACGCCTTTGACAACTTTGGAGATGTCCCCCAGCCGGCCGACGAGTTCATAGCACCCCCGGACATGTTCAACAATAGCTGGTACGTCGTCACGGTCGGGCGGCGCGTTGGGGTTTTCGATTCATGGGAAGAGTGCAATGACGCTACGAACGGTGTCCCCCACAACTGTCACAAGAAGTACACGAGTCGGAGGGAGGCTGTTGCTCGCTATTTCAACGCCCGCGAGGCTGGACGAGTTAACGTAGTATCTACCGATTAGTCCTCTAAATGCACGAGTTAGTAGATGTGCAATGAACAATCTTGGCTTGTTCCCTTTTACGACTTGAGGGAGCTCGTGTGATGCATTGATATGTGGGCTACACGACGACTATTGCTGTGACGCTGTAACTCAACTTCGGAGTAGCTGGTACACATCAATGTCCAGTCTTGCGTCAGTTTTCGCGTCGCGAGAACTTTGCTCGGAGCGTGGTGCGTACAGTCGGTGGGCGGTACGTTCGCGGAGGGAAATGTGCGGCGTAGCCTGCTGTCCGTGGTGTGACTCGGAATCCCAAACCAACATTTAATCTAGCGCGAGCAGAGTCCAGCGCCACTGCCGTGGCTGGCGTACCCTGCTTCAGTTCGAACAGCCATGTGGAACAACATATACGAGTATCAGTGCCGTATTTTAATAGCCTAAATATCTCTGCGAAGTTCCACAGGCTACGTAGATGTTCGGAGCTGCGAAAAGGCCTGTGCGAGAGCAAAATCCGAGGATCCCGGAGTGAAACGCACACTGATAGTTGTGGCAGCACTGCGCCTGACCGGTGCTCCTCAGTCGCATTTCATCCTCTCATACTATTCAGGCTCCTATACACCTCTGCTCATTCCCTTTCTTATCGATATCCCTGCGCCCTGAGGTATCATATAAATGGCTGGAGGCCGAAAACGGGAAGGGGAGTCATCAAACTCGACTCGACAACCAAAGCGACAACGAAATCAAGTTCAACGTCGACACGTCAATCCTCTCCCCTCCCCTGCACTTTCTATCACCCCAGATACCACAGAAACAATACCTAGTGTCATTCAGCAGACCCGATCGGTTCATGTTTACTCGCTGCCAGACGGAAGGGTCGCAATGCGCCAAGAGGGCCAGAATAATGTACCGGTACCCGTTCTGCCCACCACATCTGAGTCGTCAGCGACGGGCGAGATTCTCGATCTCTATCAAGAAAGCCACACTGGTATTGATTCCGTCGACTCTACAGCTATGCAGAAGTCTAAAAGGAGCAAGAGGACGGAACATAGGGCAGCAGTACGTTCCGATTACATATCTCACACCAAACATTTTGCCGAGGCTGAGTTCATATCACGGTCTCAGCGTAAAATTGAGGAATGGCTTCCTCTTCGGCAGGACTTCCTCGACGAGCTCCTGCGTTACGAAGGATCCGAACACATACATTCCAGCGTGTGCCGCACCTGCAAGCGGCCCGGCGCAACGTTCCGGTGTAGCCAATGTCACTCGCGTCGTCTGTATTGTCAGGTGTGCGCAATCGATCGACACACAGACATCCCACTTCACATTCTTGAGGCACGTTGTTTGCGACGTATTCTATGCTACGGAATTATTGCTTACTATGGGCTTGACAGCGCTGGGACGGTTCCAAGTTCATCAAAGTCGGGTTACGCGAACTTGGTGTTGTGCTCCAACTCGGGCACGATGGCGACTCGTGTCCATGCCCATCTCCGACTACACGACGTCTGGTAGTGGTCAATACCGATGGTATGCATAAAGTGGAAGTGCGCTTCTGTCAGTGCCTCCGTCATGACAGCACTTTCATGCCCGAATGGGTTCAAATCTTTCGCCAAGGATGGTTTCCGGCGACGACATCCAAGCCAGCTACCGCAGCAACTTTCCACATTCTCAACTTCTTCCACGAGCTAAACTTTCAAGCCAAAACAAATCTAAACGATTTCGAGCAGACACTACAGCGCATCACAGACAATTCAGGCTATGCAGCCAATTTGGTGAGTAAGCACCTCTGGTGCTCGAGACCCACGTACGCTTATCCAGCGCCGGCTGTAGGTCCGTTACCGGCAAATGTCGCATTGTGTCCGATTATGGCGCCATCTCGTAGCTCTCAAGCGCGCGGGACGCGGACACGATCCGGCTGGAGCCGCGAATACGCAACCAGGGGAGCTCGCTGTTGAATGCCCAGCCTGTCCGCACCCGGGAAAGAACCTGCCTCCCGATTGGGACGCGGAGACGAACATCAACAGGTGAGTCATATGCAGCACTGTATGTCATTCTTGCTGATTATGCTGCGTTTCGTAAGATGGCTATACACGCTTTTCCTGATGATGGATGGCAATTTCCGTGCAAAGCTCAAAGACCGCGGACTAGACAGTATCACACTCTCCCAGGGCTGGTCGTATTTTGTAGAGACAAACAGTTTCACGAGGTTCATCAACTCTGTCGGGGAGCAAGCAGAGGTCAGTTTGTGCTTGATTTACCTGCTGGGAAGTATCTCTCACGAGTCCCATTTAGAAAAGCAGCTGCACGGCCGAACACAAGGCTATTCTTAATGCGAACATTCATCGGGAGGGCTACATCACATCCGGTGTCGGTGCAATCCTGTGCGCGCGTCATGCCCTATGCCGAAAAAGCGGGATGGGAGACATATTCTTGGGAGAGAAGTGAGTACATTTCTTCGTTTTGTGTGTGTAGGAGAGGCAACCATGACATTCAACAGATATGCAATCTTCGACTACCTCCTCGGTTCGACTACGACCGGATTGCCACCCTCCTCCCTTCTGATATCGTATGATCTCGCGTGCCAGTGGCACAAGCGTCTCCCCCAGAGGGCGATGGATCTCCCGGAGGAGCTCAGCAACGCGATTGCGAATCTCAACCTACGCTTCGCAATCCCCAAGAAGCACTGGCACGTTCATGGTCCGAACCACGCGCAGTGGTCACTGAATTTCCTGGCGCTTGTTGGGCGGACTTACGGTGAGGGCATTGAATCGCATTGGAGCCATCTGAATCCAGTTCACACAAGCACCCGCGAGATGGAGCCCGGCGGTCGGCACGAGGTCGTTGACGACCACGAGGGCGCTTGGAATTGGCAAAAGATCTTGGCGATGGGTGAGTATTTCCAAAATGTCTCGGAGACTTCACAGTCCAGCTGACGACGACGACACAGCCAGCTTCTTTCTCAAGGGGCTACGCACCGCAGATCAATGGAGCAAGCGACAAAATCAAGTGCACGACGACTTTACCGCAAATCTTCCTCCTCTCTCTAAGAACGCCGTTCCGAAGTGGGAAGCCGAACTTACAGCGTGGCAGAATGCGCCCGGATCTGTGCCGGACCCGTACGAGGAGCCTCGGGCCAGTGAGTCATCATATAATCAAATCGGAGTCAGCCTCCGCCGCTGACAACACTGATATTGGTAGCTGTAAGCCTGAAGGCTGTTCGTCTAGAGATTGCCGAACAGGAAGCCATTGAGATGCAAGCCGGAATCTTGCCTCCGCACGAGGTTTCGCCTGGGGTCTTCCTGCAGGTTGGGCTCGACTTGGAGGAGCAGCAGTAAGTCAATAAATGTTGGTCACAGTATGAAGATACTGAGACTGTGACAGGCGTGCTTTAAGAGCCATGCAGGCCAAGATGTCAACTGGAGAGAGCTCTCAGGCGGCCGTACAAGAGAAGCGGAACACGCTTAAACGGCGTATTGATGCGTGGCAGATATTACAACATGTTCACATGCCGGTCATCGTGAATCTCCGTGGGGCAGCGCACTTGCGCCCGTCTGGGTCACCCGCAGTTGCCTCATCGGCCGACGCATCAGCTTTGCCCCCATCCATACCCACTGCCATCTCCATGTCAAACCCGCTCTCAACGTCCGCGATGTCCACAACCGTTGCGGCCACAACTTCGACAGCGATTCCCGCCACGCGCTCTACCACTTATGCCTTGGACGGAACCGCACCCATCCCTGGGAGAAACACTCAGCCCTCCAACATGACCACCATTCCGCACGCTCCTGTCCCACCGTCCATGGTAGCACCAGCACTGGAAACTCCTAGAGGGAGCACCACCGAGAACACCCCGGCCGAAGACATCGATCTCCTCCTTCCCTCTGCCCTTCCCACCCCGTTTCGCGTCTCTCTTCACCCCACGCTGCTCGACAAGGCCCAGCGCCTCCGCTTGGCCCAAGCGGATGACGCGCTCGACGATATACGACGCTACCGGCGAATCATCACTGGTATCAAGGAGTTCAATCGGCTCAATATCAGCGGGACTGGGCAGCGTACCACAGGGAAGGTGCGGTCGGTCTACTCGACTTTCCAGAGCAAGATCGATCGCGCCGCGGAACGTTACCGTGCCGCTCGTACAGCGCTTCTCGCACTCGACCACACTGGCGGCTGGCAAGAGCGGCTCAAAGAGCTTCGCGGGGAGGATATTCGAGGTCCAGGACGCCCAGACGACGAAGACCCGACAGGTGATGGTCGTTTCATTGTGTCGTGGATATGGCTTGTGCCTCGGGTGTCGGGCGAGTCTCCTGTCGGTTGTGAAGACATCAACGTCACAGAAGTCCTCGACAACATGAAGTACGAATGGTCTCGCAGCAAGGCACGGGCCGAGCGATGGACGGAAGAGGTTGCGCTACTGGAGGAGGAGATGCGGCGGATTGTGGAGTTCTTCGAGTGGAAAGCTCGGTGGTGGCGAGAGCAGGCTACACGCCGAGGCGACGTGAGCGCGGAGCTGGCAACGGGGCTCGCCATTTACGCAGAGAAGCAGGCATGCGTCTTCGAAGGGCTGGCTATGCGGTGCGTTACTTCATGGCTACCATACATGGGGAATCGCCCGGGCAAGGACGTCCCGTTGTGGCTTCAGCAGCGCGCACCGCAAATTCAAGGCGACTCATCAAATGCCGAGACGACGCGGATGGGGCTCGATGAGGATGCAGCGTGGTTGGAGTCGTCTGCAGATGAGTCCTAACCGTAGTGTGTCACTACAAAGAGACTATTAGATCTTATACGACCTCTTGCCAAATGCCATGTCGTTCGTACGAGCTCGGTCATACAGATACGGTGCATTGGAGAACGTTTGCTTTGGACAAGAAAAAAAAGGGCTCGGCACAGCGAGCGCGACGCCCGAACGTTGTAATGCCTGGAGACGATATTTAGAATCCCCCGACGTGCTGTAGTACCTGGAGACGTCATTTACAGTACCCCAGCGCGCTGTAGTACTCTCCGACCTTTCTGACAATCAACCAATGCGCTGTAATACCTGGAGACGTCATTGAGAATGCCCCGACGCGCTGTAATACGTGGAAACGTCATTGACAATCCGCCGACGTGCTGTAATACCTGGAGACGTTTCTGACAATACCCCGACGCGCTGTAATACCTGAAGACGTCATTGACAATCCCCCGACGCGCTGTAGTACTCCCATACTCTTCTGACAATGGCCCGACGCGCTGTAGTACTCCCCGACGCTTCTAACAATCCCCCGACGTGCTGTAATACCTGCAGACGTCATTGACAATCCCCCGACGCGCTGTAGTACTCCCCGACGCTTCTAACAATCCCCCGACGTGCTGTAATACCTGCAGACGTCATTGACAATCCCCCGACGCGCTGTAGTACTCCCCGACCCTTCTGACAATACCCCGACGCGCTGTAATACCTGAAGACGTCATTGACAATCCCTCGACGCGCTGTAATACCCGGAGACGTTTCTGACAATCCCCCGACGCGCTGTATTACCCGGAGACGTTTCTGACAATCCCCCGACGCGCTGTAGTACTCCCCTACCTTTCTGACAATGGCCCGACGCGCTGTAGTACTCCCCGACGCTTCTAACAATCCCCCGACGCGCTGTAGTACTCCCCGACCCTTCCGACGATGCCCCGACGCGCTGTAATATCCGGAAACGTCATTGACAATGCCCCGACGCGCTGTAGTACTGCCTGACAATATTTACAATCCCCAGACGCGCTGTAGTACTCTCCGACCTTTCTGACAATCAACCAATGCGCTGTAATACCTGCAGACGTCATTGACAATCCCCCGACGCGCTGTAGTACTCACCGACCCTTCTGACAATCCCCCAACGCGCTGTAGTACTCCCCGCCGCTTCTAACAATCCCCCGACGCGCTGTAATACCTGAAGACGTCATTGACAATCCCCCGACGCGCTGTAGTACTCCCCTACCTTTCTGACAATGTCCCGACGCGCTGTAGTACTCCCCGACGCTTCTGACAATGGCCCGACGCGCTGTATTACTCCCCGACGCTTCTAACAATCCCCCGACGCGCTGTATTACCCGGAGACGTTTCTGACAATCCCCCGACGCGCTGTATTACTCCCCGACGCTTCTAACAATCCCCCGACGCGCTGTAATACCCGGAGACGTTTCTGACAATCCCCCGACGCGCTGTAGTACTCCCCTACCCTTCTGACAATCCCCCGACGCGCTGTAGTACTCCCCGACGCTTCTGACAATGGCCCGACGCGCTGTATTACTCCCCGACGCTTCTAACAATCCCCCGACGCGCTGTATTACCCGGAGACGTTTCTGACAATCCCCCGACCCGCTGTAGTACTCCCCGACGCTTCTAACAATCCCCCGACGCGCTGTAGTACTCACCGACCCTTCTGACAATGCCCCGACGCGCTGTATTACCTTTGCAACATATTACAGAAGCCTGAAGCCTTGTAATACTTCTCTGATGTTTTTAACAAGAACCAGACACTCTGTAATACTCCAGACACTTCTGAAGTATAACAACAGCCTGGCCGCATTGTTTGATTTTACAAGGTGGCCACGAATCACGCAACGCTTCCACCACGAACCTGGGGTATTGTTTTACAATCTTGGTGACCACAGGTGCTGGGGGCGCACATCGTAATCCCGGACGGTGGACAATTCGGGTTGTTGCACTTGCACGCCTCGCCCGCTGTCTCGCTGTCTCGTCCGACCGTCGTACCTTGGCCTTCTCCGCCCCGGCGCAGCCTAGCCGCGGTCCGCGTCTTTGGAGCGAGCTTGTTTGCAGACTCGCTCGTCCTCCTCGCGGCGCGCCCGACGAGCGCGAGCACGGGGGCGACGCTCTGCCTGGAGAGCGGTGCACCTGTGGCCATCACGGTCTTCGTCGTTGCGGCCACGAATGTGGTGACCACCGTCGTGGCTTCGCGTCGGACAGACGTCTCTCGAAGTGCACGTATGTGGAAGCAGGACACCGTGTTGCGCAGGCGAGGTCGTGAGCACGACGACCCGACCACCTACCACAGCACTCGGTCGAGACCCCGCACCACCGCGAGCCCAAGTATCTCACCCACGAGTTCACCCGCTTTGGCGATCCTGTCCGCATCGCCTAGCCCCTCGTCGCCCTCGCCATCCTCGCCGTTAAGCTCCTCCTCGTTGTCTTCGTCAAGCACCAGGGTTTCGAGCTCCCACCCCCGGCGCCCTATTAGCTCAGTCGTCCCCGACTCCGCCCACTTTTCCACACTGCCATGATCGATGGTACCACCGAGCCGCCCACACTCTTACTCCCCCCGCTCCGTGACCCGTTCCCAATGACGGGCCACGCGCCCGGGACGGGCTCCGAGCTCCCCCCAAGCATCATTCCGACGTCATGCACTACAGGCTCAGCTCGTCCGCGCAGTTGGACCGGTCGGCACGCCCGCAGCCGCGCCCGAACGGGCCCGCAGGAGACGGTGGTGAGCGCAGTTGGCACAAGCGTAGTCGTGCCGATGCACCACTCGAGCAGGAGCGTGGACACGGACCCGCTCGTCCTCTCTGGGTGCCCAACGAGCGCGAGCACCGAGAGGGCGCTCCGCCCGGAGAGTGGCGCACCGTGCTTGCCATGGTTGTCGTTGTTGCGGGCACTAACACGGTGCTAGCCTGGACCGTGTGCGCACATAAGGCCAGGAACTCGACGACCACATAGAATTATGTGTATATAGCTGCAAATAATCATTAAGTACATGAGTCGAAGACCTCAGGGCCATACTATGCCCGCAGGTAGTGCACAGCGCCAGCTTGACCACCCGTGTGTTTCCAGGTGTCCTGGCGAGTCCTGGAAACCCTGGAATTAGGGCGCCAAGGATCTCAAGGCCTCCAGGAGCTGTGCAGAATTACTGATGTGACAAGCGCCCGCGAGACGCTTTCGAACTTGGGCCTTGTGAGCCGTGACTACCCCCGAAATTTCGAACTTTTGGACCCTCCTGTGACGCGTGACGTTCGATTAATACGAAATGGTACAGTAGTGTCTGCCGTAGTACATGTGTGAGCGCATATTCATAGATAAATGTAGTGCGAGAGACGTACCAGCTTCCTCACGCGTACGGAGGACCCCCGAAAGCGCCTACAGCGGGACCGCCGACCATCCGGACACGATTTGACGATTTTTGGCCCTCGGACCAGTCGCCATCCGGACATCCGGAGGGCTTGTCGCGACCGCATGGCTGCCGAAGGTCCGGACATGACCTTGAAGGGGCCAGGAAGGGTCTGCCGAAGCCCGGACATCAGCCAAGTAAGACCTGAGGTGGGCGCCAATGTGGAAAGTGGAGGAGGGTTTGTCCAAAGCTGTTACTCAGTTGAAACACTTATTGGAGGGAGTCAATAAAGCTTTAAAGCACCACTTAGTAATCATCATTGGCGTCAATCAGAATTTCACAGCCCACATTTGCGCAAAGGTCGAGAATTCCCGCTAAGTACAACAAATTTCTCTGTTTATTCCATGCCACCCTGCTCCGAGCAGCTGTGATGAGCTTTTCGCGGGGTTTGAAGCCTTTTTGCAGCGAAAACACGAATTAGCGCTCGTAAAGCGCTCCTGGAGGACTGCCGAACGATCCGGACGGGCAACCGCCCTGGTGCTGGAGGACCGCCGAAAGTCCGGACATGGGACCTCAAATAGTCCGGACATGAAAGTCGCAAAAATGGGCGTTTGTCGGCGGTCCCTCTATAGGCGCTTTCGGGGGTCCTGCGTACGGGCGGTAGCAAGATGCGTGAGGAAGCCGGTCGAGCCCCCGCCAGTATATCTGGAAGCGGGGACTCTCCAAACGGGAACGATCGATGCTCGCGCGCCCAGGCCACGCAAGCGCATTAGTCCAGAGCCGGTCATCAAAGTCCATAGCCGGCCCTCCCCGGCCCGGCCCGCTCAGCCGTCCCGAGGACGCGCTGACCCATTCCCGCTGCGCGCGTGCGCTGCCCGCGCGCCGACCACAACAGCCACCATCTTCGTTGTTGTTCGAGATCGTCATCTTGCTGAAAAGTAAATCAGGCGACTCCGAGTCACGTGGATAGAACTCTTCTGTGTAGTCGTCTGCGTTGAACGTTCCGTAGTACTCATGCACCATCTTTGCGAGCTCGTTCAAGAGCGCCGTCAGGGTTTTCTTCTGTTTTCCCTGAGGCTTGATCCATGAAGTAGACTTATGCGTGAACAAGAGTTTGTTATCGCCTCCGTTGTACCTTTCACCGTCGAATAATACGTAGTCGCCGTACACCATGTTGACAATCTTTGGGAGGACTTTGGCCTCGTCGATCTTGTACACGGGTTTCGATATGAAGTGGGGTGTGTAAGACGTCCGGGTAAAGCGCAAGACGGAGTACTGGAAGAGGTGAATGAACGACTCAACGTCGTCTGAAACGGCGTGACCACGCGCAGGAAAGTTCGCCACTAGTGCTGAGTGGAAGTACCACGCGCCCTGGACAATGCTGTTCAGTTCGCAAATTCCCTTGACTCGAGGTACTAATCAGAAGGCTCACCGGGATCACTTCTCGTTGAGCCCTCCTCTGAGCGATCTCTTCCTTAGTCCTCGCCTACTCCCAATCGCCGAGCAGGCACCGTGGGGTTACTTCGCCCGGGAAAACATAGAGACCGACGCTCCAGAGGCTGATCGAGCGGTGTATTAGACGCGCCTTCTCACACGCGTCGAGGTGTGCTGTAGTAGCAGAGTAGCGGTCAGTCCGAATCCGTCGCCGAGTACGAGTACCAGTGTTGGCTCGGCCGAGTCACGCACCTTCCATGGCGTCCGCCAGGTCCCCGCACAAGCTCTGGAAGTCGCCGATGTTGAGCAGCGGCTTGTAGACTTGCTTCAGGACGATGCGATAGTGCACGAGCATCTTCGCCTTGGGAGGGTCAGGCCCCCACCGATCGAGCGTCGCCGTGCGCTGTTGGTCGCCTCCCAGTCCAACGGTGACGTCTTCCCCACACACGCACTCGGGCACATTCCTGACCTTGGCGCCAGCGAGGCGAGCGTATGTGTCATGTTCGAGTGGAATCGGGTCGTCCGAGTCGAGTCGCCAGTACTGTACCATTTCGAATTGATCGAACCGCCGTTTGGAGCGTGACGGAAAGTTTGGTCGGGTGGATTCGAACTTTGACCGGGCCGTCCGTGACGGCCCGGAAATTTCGAACCCATCATCGACTTTTGGGCATTTCTACACCCAAACCGAGCGGGCGCAGACAAGCGCCCGCGAGACGCTTTCGAACTTCGGCCTTGTGAGCCGTGACTACCCCCAAAATTTCGAACTTTTGGTCCCTCTTGTGACGCGTGACGTTCGATTAATACGAAATGGTACAGTAGTCCTTGACCGTGCGGAGCTCGTCGTCGTCCTCGCAGATGCGACGAGAAGGCCCGAAGAGCGCGCTTGACGTGGTACTCGCACTGGGTGGCGCCAGAATACCCTGCCACTGGCGTTCATATCAATGACAACATACACCGCTACTGGCGTTCGGATAAGCTCATATGAGTGGGCGCTCTATACCTGCTACTACCGTCTATATGTACCACATAGCCACACATATGAGTGCCCTCACACCCTGCCACCTATACATATTATAAAAGTGGCTGCTTATATGAGTGCATTAGTGTCTTTCCCTCATATGAACTTTGTAGCGCCTTGCCACTCATATGAGCTCGCCCCCTCATATGAGCTCGCCCCCTCATATGAGCTCGCCCCCTCATATGAGCTCGCCCCCTCATATGAGCTCGTCGGCGTCTCACCCCTCATATGAGCTTATTAATATCCCATCCTTAATATGAATGCACCAGCATTCCACAGCTCCCATTAGCACATCTGGGAACCGGCATACTCTATTGCATGCCTGTGTGTATAGGTGCACCCATGCCGGAGCAATTCTTCAGCTTATCATATTACTGAGACACAGGAACTGCACTCCGAAAGGACAGGAAACTGCACCAGCTGTGCCACAACCGAAACAGACAGAATGGGTGCCCATTAGTTCCATTTTTATTCACACAATGCGCAAAGAGAGAGCAAGAAACCCATGATAGAAAGTGCAAGGCTCAAGCTGATCTCCGCAATCGGCAATTGACTCCCCCCGGGGGTCACCTCCGGGCCGGTAATTGACTCCCCCCGGGGGTTGATCTCCGAGTTTTTGATCACCTGTGTATCTCCGAGTTTTTGACCACCTGTGTATCTCCAACTTTTTGATTGCCTGTGTATATTGTCAGCCTTCATTACCAGACTGCCTGTATCTATTACCGAGTTTTTGGACATCTGTGTGTATTACTGCTTTCATTGCCGAGTTTTTGATTGCTGGTGCCTGTTACCGGTCCTCATTACCAACTTTTTGACTGCCTCAATCCATCACTGGGTCTTTGTTCACCTCCAGCCTTTGATACCGAGCTTTTTATCACTGATATTGGTAATATTAGATGGGTTAGTCTGCCTGTACTAAACACCCTCTCCCTAGGAAGTCACCCTTCACAGCTGCATGTGTTGATGGAAATTGACCAAGCTGTTTTCTGGATCAGGTAGTAGCATGCAAGAGCTGTGGGTGTGCAAATCTGGAGGGCAGTAGCTGCAAAAGTGAGGGAGTAATGGGGTATGATATTCTAAAATGACATACCAAACACAGACCTGGGATGAGAGTGAATCACATCCCAGACACCTAGATATATTCACAGAGGATATTCTGAATGCAATGCAGAAGAGAGCGCACAGAAATCAGGATTTCCGGTGAAGATACAAGATATGTGTGGAAAGTGGAAGTTCTGAGAAAACACAACATGCATAAGTTCATGTGCAGACATGATATCAACATGATGTTTGCTGCATCACAATTGGGTACTATTGGGGTGCTCAGATCGGAATTTGCAAGCTTATCGGTGATGAGATGCATATGGGGCACCATATGTCATTATTTCATGACATACAGTATCCTGACACAGCATATGCTCCGATTAGAATTCTAAAACATGGAATAGAACGGAGTGGAACATAGCTATCCAACGCAGAAAAGACCTTGAAAAACGGTTGAGAATCAGTGGAGATGTGCAAGGTGAGCCAGAAGTGTGGTTTATGCTGAATGTACTCTGACCTCGCTTTTCACTGCAACCACACTTCTGGCTCACCTTGCACATCTCCACTGATTCTCAACCGTTTTTCAAGGTCTGTTCTGCGTTGGATAGCTATGTTCCACTCCGTTCTATTCCATGTTTTAGAATTCTAATCGGAGCATATGCTGTGTCAGGATACTGTATGTCATGAAATAATGACATATGGTGCCCCATATGCATCTCATCACCGATAAGCTTGCAAATTCCGATCTGAGCACCCCAATAGTACCCAATTGTGATGCAGCAAACATCATGTTGATATCATGTCTGCACATGAACTTATGCATGTTGTGTTTTCTCAGAACTTCCACTTTCCACACATATCTTGTATCTTCACCGGAAATCCTGATTTCTGTGCGCTCTCTTCTGCATTGCATTCAGAATATCCTCTGTGAATATATCTAGGTGTCTGGGATGTGATTCACTCTCATCCCAGGTCTGTGTTTGGTATGTCATTTTAGAATATCATACCCCATTACTCCCTCACTTTTGCAGCTACTGCCCTCCAGATTTGCACACCCACAGCTCTTGCATGCTACTACCTGATCCAGAAAACAGCTTGGTCAATTTCCATCAACACATGCAGCTGTGAAGGGTGACTTCCTAGGGAGAGGGTGTTTAGTACAGGCAGACTAACCCATCTAATATTACCAATATCAGTGATAAAAAGCTCGGTATCAAAGGCTGGAGGTGAACAAAGACCCAGTGATGGATTGAGGCAGTCAAAAAGTTGGTAATGAGGACCGGTAACAGGCACCAGCAATCAAAAACTCGGCAATGAAAGCAGTAATACACACAGATGTCCAAAAACTCGGTAATAGATACAGGCAGTCTGGTAATGAAGGCTGACAATATACACAGGCAATCAAAAAGTTGGAGATACACAGGTGGTCAAAAACTCGGAGATACACAGGTGATCAAAAACTCGGAGATCAACCCCCGGGGGGAGTCAATTACCGGCCCGGAGGTGACCCCCGGGGGGAGTCAATTGCCGATTGCGGAGATCAGCTTGAGCCTTGCACTTTCTATCATGGGTTTCTTGCTCTCTCTTTGCGCATTGTGTGAATAAAAATGGAACTAATGGGCACCCATTCTGTCTGTTTCGGTTGTGGCACAGCTGGTGCAGTTTCCTGTCCTTTCGGAGTGCAGTTCCTGTGTCTCAGTAATATGATAAGCTGAAGAATTGCTCCGGCATGGGTGCACCTATACACACAGGCATGCAATAGAGTATGCCGGTTCCCAGATGTGCTAATGGGAGCTGTGGAATGCTGGTGCATTCATATTAAGGATGGGATATTAATAAGCTCATATGAGGGGTGAGACGCCGACGAGCTCATATGAGGGGGCGAGCTCATATGAGGGGGCGAGCTCATATGAGGGGGCGAGCTCATATGAGGGGGCGAGCTCATATGAGTGGCAAGGCGCTACAAAGTTCATATGAGGGAAAGACACTAATGCACTCATATAAGCAGCCACTTTTATAATATGTATAGGTGGCAGGGTGTGAGGGCACTCATATGTGTGGCTATGTGGTACATATAGACGGTAGTAGCAGGTATAGAGCGCCCACTCATATGAGCTTATCCGAACGCCAGTAGCGGTGTATGTTGTCATTGATATGAACGCCAGTGGCAGGGTATTCTGTCGGCATGCGCTGGTACTCGGCGCCGCAATGAGATAATTCTTGCCGCCTATGCTGAGACGGTAGAAGGGCCACTGCGAAGTGGGCATGGAGAGGCGCATCTTGCGCGAGATGTAGGCCACCCACTCGTCACGAAACCCTCTGAGGGTCCTCGACTGCTTTCCGCGGACACGATACTCTGATGGCGTATTCTCGAGGTGAGTCGGCGACAGCCCCCTCTCGATGTACCCCTCGATGATGCGCTTCCCTTCGTCGTGGGGGACACGTGTGGCAGAGAGGTCGAAGCCGAGAACTCCTAAATTGCCCCGGGGCCCAGAGAGTAGCGCGAGTCGCCAGAAGAACTCGTACAAGGTCAGGTCGGCCTCCGTACCCCATTCGAACGGCTCGGATATGATGAAGGACCCATGGTCGACCACGATGATCCGCGCTTGGTAGCGACAGATGTAGAGCGCGATAAGCTCGGTCCTGTGCTGCCTCTTCAGGATCGCCGCGCAGTACTGGTTCACCTGTCCATGTGACTTGACCGGTTCGCGAACGATCTTGTGGGCCTCTCTGGCGGGAGTGATGCCGGGGAACGTGAACGCGGAGTCATTCGGGTCAGCCTTGACTTCGATCGGGACAAGGACGTCGGCGAGGGAGGCTCTTCCAAGGCACTGTGTTTTTTGTAGATCGACTTGGATTCTTCGTCCGTGGTGTTGGCCACCTTGTCCTTGTACCACTTGTCCTTCTCCGCCTCCGAAACCGAAACATTGGGGTGATCGGTGACGCTGTCGTCGTCAAAGTACACATACGTCGGGCCTGAGCGCACCGTGGACGTCTGGTACGTCGTCGTCCGCGGGGTCGTTCTTCGGTTCGCGTGTGGATGTATCCAAGACTTTGATACTACGGAGAGAACTCTCGTGTAGAAAGTGCCACTCCGATTCGGCAACGGTGCAGGCTTTGCAGGCGGCTTCGTGCTCCTGATACGCTTCGCGATACTCCGCGCGTGCTTGTTGGTAGGTATCGTCGATGTGGCGGTTGCAAAGTTGGCAGGATGGATTGTAGGTGCCCCCTGGCTCTTGATCGCAGTCTGCGCAGATCGAAGCCCCGGAAGTCTGCCGGCCGAGCGGAGTGTCAAGACGGTCACAGAGCTTCCGGTACTTTCGGTCGGCCTCCCGGTACACCTCGTGGTTCTTGTCATGCTGTTCAGTGGCGTCACGATGTGCTCGCATGTAAGCCTCCAAATTGGCCACGGCGGTACCGTAAAGGGCTTCGCTTCCGTCGTACTTGGTTTCTTCAGAGACCTGATCGTGTGCATCTTCGTCTTCAATCTTTCCAGAGCCTTCGACTTCCCGTAGCCAGGCTGTGGCCCCACCGCCGGAAGGAGCCTCTTGGGTCTGATTGAGAGACTTTTCGCGCGCATCGCTCACATGGTCACAGTAGACGCGTATCAGCGTTCGTTCCACACGGGCGCGACTGCGAGCTAGTTGAGCAGCAAAGGAGGAGGTCATGGACATGTCCTAGGGCGATGCGGCGACTTTCTGAGGACGCCATGATCTCTATGACCTTGTTCGCGATCCAGGCCTGAGAGACGGAATGAAAACGGAGGATACAGACGAAATAACAGGAACTCACGATCTCCATCACAACGCGTGAATCGCTTGTCTTTGGACCATCTTTCAAGTCCAATCGTGCCGATGGGAGTCTGCCCTTGAGTGACAAGGCTGACAGCGCTTCCGATTTACCCAGCTCGCCACCAAGGTGGTCACGGAAGACACGCCCTACATCCTGCTGCTCGCAGAACTTGTGTAGGTGCTGATCCTTCATTGCGGAAACTTGAAACCTTCCTTTACCGCCAGCGAAGCGTTTGCACGCGGAGGAGCAGGTCCAACGCAGCGCTAAGCATTAGAACCTTGATCTAGGGTTTAGCCAGCGGCAGCAGTGGCCCACTGCACGCTACGGCTCCCTCCTGCACTCGTTCTCCCACTACGCCCACTTGTTCATCCACGCAAACCCAAGACGGAGAACGAGCCCTTCGCCATGCCCAAAGACGTTCCATCCACCCAACCGTGCTTCCGCCTGGCGATCGTGTGCGTTCCCCTTGACTCTCGGTCTAATTCCCCGGCCTGACGTTTCCTGCATTACAGCGGTAGAGGTATAGCAGACTTCACGCGGGCCATCGCATTCGGGTTATTCGAACAAGATCTGGCGTCACCCACCGAGATCGGCATGCACTAGGCCGGACCCGAAATCACTACCGTTGGAGGAGGCAGCTCCCGAGCTCGTGGAGGTGGGAAGGACGGAGAAGGACCGGGACGGATGGAAGGGACAGCGAGGGGCATGAAGAGACCCACAGCCGCTCCAGAGCCCGCCCTTCTGCCCCGCAAGTCTAACTACCCTCGGGGGCTTCGAGTCTGGGCGCGTTATGGTTCCAGGTCAGTCTCCCTCCTCTCCCGCTTGGTATGTTCCATCTTCACGCTCGCGCGTACAGATGGCGCGACCACGATGTGCCGCGCCGGTATGGTCTACGTCCTCGTTCGCCACCCCCGCGCATGCTACACCATCGGTGCCTCTCTTCCTACCACCCTCCTTCAACGCAACGGCTCATACACCTTGCAATTCCCTGACGGCACCCACGCGACCGCAGACGCCCTCATCCGCGCGGACGACGATGTAGGCACTCGGGCGAGTGCGACCGTGGAGATTATGTGCTACGCGGCATGCGGTCAGCGACAACCCTGCGAGACGACCTCAGACGCGTAAACGAACCTCACTGTTGCCAGAGCTCTGTCGACAGCACATTGGCCCCAAGCGCGGTGGAATCGAGACGAGCACTTGCAGTATCATGTACCAGTACGCGAGTGTGCCCGCCCACCTCGGGCGCCGTGCCTCAAATTGCAATATATATAGTACCCTCACACACCTGCGCGCGCGCTGTGGACTTGAGTTTCGATCCTGTAAGCGCCGGCGGAGGAGCACGTGGGGAGGTCGTAGAAGATGATGCACATCTAGGTGTGCACTGGGGAGCGTCGGACGCAGATCATGTTCGCGTGGTGTGCGCCATCTGCGTGCGTGGTCATGAGAAGTAGCGCACATCGGGCATTGGAGAACATCGGAAATTGCATGGCCCTGTTTTTCCAATTTATAACGTGTGTGATAGCAGGTGGGAGATGGGGGGTTGTGTGGGCACGAACGGCGGCACACGACATCACAGAAAAGTATCGTACAGATACAGACAACAGCATAAGTACCGACGAATTCGGACACAAATGCAAGGGCGCCAGGCGAGGAAAGCGTATCAAAAAGTTGTTTGCGTGGATAGCAGGAGGCGATTGTAAAGCAATAGAGAGCCGAGACAGTCACAAAGCATCATACACTTCGGCGAAAGGGAAAGTTCGCCCGCCGGCGGCAATCCTCAGGCCCGCGCGCTTCAAGAGAAGTACATGACCTTCCTGATCTTCTCGTTCAGGGGCTTGAACCCGGCGCGGAAGACCTCGAGCTGCTTGGTGACATCCTGCGAGCCCAGGTGGGTCGCAGTGTCCTCCATCGACAGGTGCTGCGAGCCGTCCGGGTCGTAGTGGAACTTCGCGCGTGCGCACACGATGTCGGCATCTGTACGGGTTCGCGTCAGCCGCGCGCGCGAAAAGAAGCAGGGATCGGGACTCACAGTATACAGGGGCAGGGATAGAGACGGAGCGCGTGGCGCGTGCATAGACGTGACAGAGCGCAAAGGAGAGCGCTTGAATGCTGTCCGGGGTGAACCCATTCTCGTCGTAGAGGACGGAGTAGTGTGCAGGACGTGACGTGCCCTGGATTGTATATACCCGAACACAAGAGAGATCGTGTCAGTGGACGTGGAAGCAGCAATGAAGAGCGAGAAGACTTATCCAGCGTGGCTTTGGAGGTAAAAGTCGAATTCCGTCGGGTGCGTTATGTAGTTGTCGACCACGAGGCCAGGCATGCAGTTGCCACTCTTGTCAGTGTCCTGGCCAGTCGGGAAGAATCGTACATGGTGGCGCTTTCCGACAACTATGACGGTGATCTTCGGCCGCACGCCGGCGGCCTCGCACGCCCCTGCGAAGCACAACGCATCAGTCACCCCTCAGGATATCCGCCTGAAGAACCACTTACTCTTCAGCTGTGGCAGCTCTTCATCGTGTCGTGCACTCTCATCAGCTCCGAAGGATCATTCCAAGTGTCGGGGTCACTCACCGTAGTCCAGCACCTGCTGGAACTCGCCCTCCGAGACACCATCACGGTAGAAGATCACTCGGGTCGGTGCCGTGCCTGCTTTCTTCTCCGCCTGCGAGCGATAGGACTGATACATCTTGAGGATATTGCCCGCCATGTCTTCCAAGTCTTCGATCATCTCCTGTCGCCCCGTTTGCACCCGAATTTCGGCCACGTACTTGGCTGTTTCGGAGTCGACGTTGCCAACGAGCGACGTGAACGAAGGACGGCCCTGCGTGCCTGGGGCGGGGTGGACGACGTCCGCACTGCAGAACGGCGGTCAGTGACGATCTGTGCGGAGGTGTAGGAGGGCGTACCCCAAGACGAGCGTCGGATTCTTCGGGTCGGTGAGGACGGGCACAGAGCGTGCGTCCGGGACGGTGTTGATTCCCCCGAGCTTCACGTTGATCCTGTGCACAGAGCGGGGCGTGAGCGCGCACGTGGCGCCACGAGCGTAGCGGACTCACTTGAGCGCGATGTTCGCATAGTACTGCTGCTTCGCGCGCGAGCACTTGGACGACATCATGCACTGCGTCGCTACCCCTTGCGTGCAATCTCCAAAGCTGTCGGCGACCCCACAATCAGATCAGGCCACAGAGCGCGAGAGAGACGTACTGTTTGACCCCGGAGTAGAGGTCGTTGGAGCCGGGAGGCAGGACCACCACTATGAGGTCAGGCCCTCCGGCTCTGTTATTCTTTTCTAGACACTGGCGGCCGGCATCTCTGAGGTGCTGAAGTTGGCGCGTGAGCACCACGGAGGCGACGTCGCGAATAGCTACGTACATCTGCCACCCTGCCGTTGATTACCTGATAACGAATAGCTGGGTCCCGCTCCTGGACGGCCACACCGGTCATGTCGAGGGCGTCGAGCATGCCCCGCACCAAATCCTGCGCCGTTTGGCGGTTGAAGCGCTGCTCGCGCTCGTAGATGACGATGACCCATCGCTTGATGGCGGCCGTCTTGAAGAACTTCTTGTCGACCCTACGAGACGAGTCAGCGGGAGTCGACTCTCTGTCGACGCGTGGCTTACATGTTCCACGACCCAAAGCGAGGTTGCTGGAGAACGCTCAGTTCAACGCCCGCCATTCCAGCTCCAACACTCACCAATGTCAACTGTCTGCTCCCGGGGCCGTACTTGAGCGTGGGCACGTCAATGACCCGCGCATCGATCGCGAGCGGCTCCGTCCTGGCGAGCTGCATCCCGAATTGCTGCGTGAAAAGGATCAGCGAAGACGCCCCGGCCCAGCGCCCAGCACGCACCCGAACGTATTCGGACTGGCCGTACGAGAGCACCCCGAGCGCGTTGACGATGCTGCGCAGCCTGTCGGGCGGCCTCTGCGTAGAAAACTGGACCATCGCGTCCGTTTTCTCCGGGGGAAGTTGCTTGCGCATAATCTGCCCTTCTGGGATGACGCAGACCTCCATCGGGAACATCCCCTTCCCGATCTGCGCACTTTCATCAGCAGCTGATCCCTACGCTCCCATCGTACGTACCTGCACGCAAACGACGCCCGGGTGGCGGAGTTTGTAGTTGTATGTCCTTTGGAAGTACTGCGCGACCGAGATCTTCTCGCCCGTCTCAAGCTCGAACCGGTACGCGTCCGCACCGACCGTCGACAGGCCCCTCACGACGCGCGCAGGGCGGTTCGCGAGCTGCGGCTGCCCTGGGATCTGAACGTGGACGCGCACCCCGCGGAGGAACCGCTCGAGCTTGCCCCGATCGCGCTCCGACAGGCCCTTCGTGGGCCCGAGCATGTCGGGGTTCGTGTTGCCGGGTCTCTCGAGTGCCTGAAACGCGACTTGGATCACGGGCCCCGGGGCAGTCATGACCGCCGCGGATATGTCGACATTGATAAGCATACGGCCGATCGCGGGGCGCACCGACTGGAAGTATCCACGCCAGAGGTGCAGACCGCTGCCGATGTCGCGGGAGCCCTCGCGCGTGAAGAACGACCGCGTGTTGAACGGGTATCGAGTGAACGGTTCCATGCGCACGGCGACGTTCAGAGCCTGGAGAAGAGTCAGTGTATGTTATATGACGCGGACGTTCAACGCACGTGGATCGCTTCGAGAACGGTGCTGTCGTGTGACTGCATTCCTTGGAGGAAGCGTGTAAGAACCCTATCATCGTGTTTAGCATCAGTTCGTGGGCGCACGGGAAATCTTACTCTGGGTTGATCGCGGCGACGTGGGTCAGTTTGACGGTGTACGTCTTCGGTCCGCGCGCAGGCCTCCCTCCGGCAGCAGTGCCCGGAGGGGTTTCGCCCGGCGAGGGCTGGTCCACCATCGTGAAGTCGAACTGCGCGACGACGTAAGCGTCGATCCCGGAAGAAGCGCGCCGAACGCACCTTGTGGGTCCCGGACGGGCCGAACTGGAGCTCGTTTGCGCAGTACATGCTCGCCCGCCCATCGTACACCGCGCGCGGGCTGAAGATCTGCGGGGCGATGTCGGTCTGGAGCCGCTTTATGATCTCCATGTTCAATCGCAGTGGGAGAGGCTTCGCCGCGGGCGTGATCACTAGACATACGACATGAGCTTCCTGGGCCGTCGCGCCGGCTCCAAGCCGACTCACCAACTGCAAAAATCGCATGAGAGGGCGTTCAACAAGCAATAACGGCGACCGACATACCGTCATAATGATGGATGATCGACTGAGGGGTCGAGACTTCAAAATGGTTCGTGACGACCCTGGCCAAACGCCCGCTGTTCCCGAACGAGGGCCTCTTGACACCGACGGTGGTGATGGGGCCCTGGGGTAGCCCACCAGCGGCGGGCGCAGCGGCAGCCCGAATCGCAGGTCCAGGGGCCGCCGCCCCCGCGACACTTCCGCCTCGTGTCGACGGCGCACCTCGTCCCGAGCCCGCCCCGCCGCGCGAGCCGCCGCGCGATCCGCCGCGCGAGCCTCCTCCACCTCCACGAGGTCCGCCGCGGCCTCTCTCCGGATTTCCGCGAGGAGGCATCGTTCAAAGTGGCGTAGAGGTAGCAAGAAAGAAGAGAAAGTGAAAGAAGACGAGATGAGAAGAGCAGAGGGTATATCAGGTGTACGTCTGCGGCACTTTACGTCAGCGGTGTGTTGCTGCGGTAAGTAGAAGCAACGCACGTAAGCACCCCAAGCGCCGCCTGCCATTCGCTCTGAGCGTAAATCGCGACCGACACTGCTTCGCTTTGTTCTAGATCGGCAGTTCTGCGAAGCAGTCGTGTAAAAGCAGCAGTGAATATCAGTTTAGATAGACAATGACGCGTATCTTGGGACATCAAAAAAGGAGGTTTCAACATCGTCATGACAGGCGGAACTCAATGGGAGGTGGCCAGAACGACAGATGCAATATGGGGCCTCCAAAAGGCGCGAAAATAATAGTGGCACATACGATACATAGTCACAGCACCACAAAGCATCCTTTAGACAAGACTACGAGACTAACGAGTCATCAGCGCCTCGCGCGAGCCAAACAACAACCACTACTCACCAATTCAAACACCATTCGCATGCCCATTCGCCGCGGCAGCAGCGGCGGCAGCAGCCGCACCCCTTCCCCGACCTCTACCACGACCCCTTCCACGTCCACGACCCCTTCCTCTTCCGGTACTCGGCGTCGCGACAGGCGCCGCGCCATCCGCACTCGCGGCGGCCGAGGCGACAGCGGCGGCAGCGGCAGCGGCCGCCCCACGTCCCCTCCCGCGCCCCCGTCCGCGCCCCCGTCCCGTCGACACCGGCTGCGGGGGCGGCGCGGCCGGGTGCTCCGCCGCAAAGTGCACGGGCACGCCAAGCGGCTGGAGCTGGCCGTGTCCGTGGGCATGTCCGTGCCCGTCGAACTGCATCTGCATCTGCATTTGCATCGGCGGCTGCGGCGGCACCGGGGCCGGGTGGAGCATGTGCTGCATCTGCGGCGGGGGCAGCGCGTGCGGGTGCGCCGGTGGCGGGGCGTGGTGGTGCGCTGGCGGGGCCGGGTGCGGGTGCAGGTGCGGTGGAGGAGCCGCCGGATGCGGGTGCGGCGGCGCGAAGAGCTGGGACTGGGTGTGCGGCGGCGGCGGGACGTACTCGTGCTCGATGATGCGGTGCGGCGGCGCAGGTGGTGGTGGGGAGTGCGGGCGGGGCGTGGGTGAGTCGAGGGACTCGATGCCGGTCGGCAGTACGGGAACGGTGTAGGAGTAGTACTGGGGCGGGATCGGGTCACGGGTGAGGTAGTGCACGAGCGAGGGCTGGGCGGGGACGGCGATGTCGACGGCGTCGAGGAGGAGGCTGGGGCGCGGGTTGGTCCGGGGCTCAATTGGCGGGAGGGCAAAAAGGGAGGACGTACTTGCATTCTTCGTGGAGGGCGTGGAGTTTTTCGTTGGCCTTTACGAGTGCGCTCTCGTAGTCGGCGTGCATCTGAGCAGGGTATATGCGCTCAAAAAACGGAGGCGACGCGCTGGGGAGATACGCACTGCGGTCACATAATCGTACTTCTCCCTCAAGGCTTGGAACCTGATCTCAGTGAGCACTTCGTAGTCGTGCGGTACTACACTGAGCTTACTTCTCCTTGTATCGCGTCCCGCCGCGGTGTGCAGAAACTGAATGCTATGCGCAAGTTGCGTTGAACAACCAAGGACTAGGTAGAGCAAACTGGGGCACACCTTCAGACTAGAGCCGGAGGGAGCACTGGAAATAGTGGGAGGTGGGTAGGGCGCCGAGCTAGATGATCTAGACATAGAATCCGCCATGGAAGTGGACGGGGTAGAGGGGGAAGGAGGACAAGGAGTGTGTACCCTCTGCTGGGAGAGCCTGTGGCGTTGAATCGTGTGCGCGCTTACATTACCAAATTCAGAAGTCTCACGTGGAGGCCAGGCCGAACACGAGGCTAGCACTCCCATCTGTGTATTTCGAACTCGAAATGTCACCAACGCTCAATTCCACGCTATTCCTTCCGGTCGCTCCAAAGTCAGACCGACAATCCATCATCACATTTTCCTACTTCCTCGGCGGAAGTGGTGGAGACCCTAGCCCTGGACTCATCCCCGTTGTCGTCTGCGTCTCGTGCTCCCACATCCCCATTCCGTCGTCCGTCTGCATCCCCCGCTCGGTACGCAGCGCGCCAGGGTCCTCCATCCCCATCGCCTTCCCGCGCTTCTGCTGCGTCTTGCGGGGGTGCCGCGCGGACGACATGGCCTCCATACCTTGCGAAGTCTGTTGCCGGCCGGTGTCCGCGGGGTGGGTCTCGTCAGGGCGGGCACGCTGGGTACCGGTAGCGCTGTCGACAAAGTCCATAGCGTTGCCTCGGATGGAGTTTCCAACGCCTGCGTGTACCGGTGAGAATCGGCCTGTGAAGAAAGGGAGGGGCCGGACCTCGGACGGTCGTGAATGCACCTCTGCGGAAACAGCCGTTTGTTGGAGACCAAGAGGCAGAGCAGATGAGTTGGCTCACCTCACGGCACTCCCGAGACCGCCCCCAATTGTGCCATCGCGAGATGGTTGAGAGGAAGAGCTCGGCATAATGATGTTTGTTGAAGTGGATTTGGTGGAAGATGATGTGAGTGGTGTCAACGCAAGATCGGCTAGACGAACTCCTGAAATATATGAGGACATGCCCGGATATCATTCTGGAGCAATGTGCATCGAGTGAACGCATAGTGGTGTTCTGGCTGGCGCAGGATGGCATCGCCAGCCCCTACGCTTATGCTATGACGTCATAATTTATCCGGCGTTTTGTTCCGTCCATGTTAGGAAGGTCGTGCTTGGCTGGCCAGAAATTTTCAACTCATGCTTACCGCAAATGCATCACGGTAGATGTGGCACTATACGCCGTCTGCGCGCGGGCCGTACATCATAGAACTGGCAGCGAACGAAGATCCAGCGCGCGCGGTAACCTCCAGGAGTCTAGAGGCGCGCGTACAACGATGTGGCCTAGGCGCAGAAGGCTGGAGTCGGTGAATGGCGGGGGCCGCGGGATTCCATGCTTGTCAGGTCGTGAAGCGTTCGACTGACCCACTTAGGCAACCAGCGGCACATCGCCGGCACGCGTGCACAGTCGGGCCCCACTGCCATGCGTGTGCTCGAGATTGAATGACGGCTGTGATCACGGCTCTGGAGTTCACTGGGCCTGGGCAGGGCGTGGTGAGATCTTGGGAACGGGTGTTCCCACCGCACGACGTGCACTGCCCCCAATACAGTACAGGAGATAGCGGACCGATCACGAATGCGGAGATGAGGAATACAGGTCAGCGCTTCAGCAGTCGGGCGTGGGTGGTTCGCTAGTAGTATGATCGGGCATTGAGCGCATCCAGCCTCCTGGATCAACGGCGTATAAGTACTACGGCCGGAGTGCTCTTGTATGATGTCAGCTGCGATGGGCCAATCCAGCAGCTACAAAGCGACGCGAGCCGTGGAATTCCCTAGACGGCCGAGTGGGAACATCTCCGCTTGGGTAGCGAAGGAAGGCAGCCCTGCACGTGGATGCAATTTAGAGAAGTTGTCGGATGAGTGCGCCGGCTACGTACTTTGTTGTTCTTCTGCGGAATGCCATCGTTTGTTGATAGGGAATATTTTTATGCCGTACGTGATGAAGGTGCGGTGATGAAGGCAGCGACGCGGCCGAATGTTGGAGTTCGGCGCCAGAGGTGCAGCCTCGGGCCGCTTGCTTAGGTAATTGTGTAGCTATAGTGCTCGCCATCACGACAGGCAGCCCAGGGGCGTGTGAGGTAGGGAAATGTTATCAAATATGTTATTGTATCGACCCCTGGGCGAGACTCCGTCAGCAACTCGGAAATGTTGAGGGATACATAAACTCTTTGTCAACATGCGCCGATCATTTCCCCGTCTTTGTCAGGTAATCCGGCTCACAACGTGCGCGAGTCTCGGAAATGTTGAAGTTCAGATCACATGACTACCGTCCCTTTAAGGCCTAGGGCCCACCATGAGACATGAATCGATTCTGGCAGCCTCTGAGTTGTCTGCAACGACAAGCCCAGTGCTCACTGATGCGGGAACCCGGACATCGACGACACACACGTGATCAACATTTCCAAGACTTGCGCCTGTTGTCAGTCGGATTACCCGACAAAGACGGGGAAATGTTCGGCCCATGTTAACAAACGGCTTGAGTATCTATCAGAATTTCCAAGTCTCGCCCATGGGTCGATACAATAACATATCTGGGAACATTTCCCGATCTCACACGCCCCTGGGCTGCCCGTCGTGCATCGCCTGTACCGTACGCCACGCGTTTGCTCCTATCCACCACCATCTCCCGCGGATCCGCCGTCCGTCCGCCTGTCCCCGGTGCCCAGAGGAGCCCAAGCGCGACGCCCTCACCCTCCAACCTGTCCCGATCGCGTCCTACGACCCCGAAATCCCACACCGAAGCCCTAGGAAAAAGCAGACGTGTTAAGTAAGTGCCCTCAGGATAGGGTTTAAATGATGACGTCTTCGCGAAGGAGCCGTCGTCCCGATTCGTCCCTCTCGTGTACATACTTCGACTCTGCTCACGTGTCCTTCTCTCTGTTCTTCATTCTCCCCGCCGCTCCGTGTGAATGCACGGTACCTGCGTGTCTTCCTGCTCCGCTCTTCCACTCTGATATGTATGTCACACTACCGCGTCGGCGGCCTCCGCACAGCTGAACAAGGCGATCGTGCTCATCAGGCTTCCGGACGCTCCCCCGCCCGGCTTCGCTACTCCACGGAAGGCGGCGGAGGAGGCGGCCGGTGATTGCGTATGCCACACATATATCCAGCCATCAAAGCCGCTATATACGCATGGCAGAATGCATTGCTAGCGGTATGTTTTTTCTCGCGCGGTTCCAGCTTTTTGTCCCCGACAGACCGCCCCACTACCGACGAAGGGTGACGATGGAAAAATATGCTGTCTCCTGATGAGTATGCAGTTAGCTGTGTCCGAAATCAGTCCTTCTCCTGACCTCTGAATGTCGTAACGCGCTTATAGTCGCCGTCTCCCAATCATAGGTCATCTGATAATCCGCAGTGTGCTCAAGGTCTCGTGCGCTCAAAGGCATTTTCACGTCACTAACGGAGCCCAACCATACAAACTGGGACCACTTCCCCTCCACCGAGGTACCGCAAACCTCCCCTGCGGACGCATGCAGAATACGATAGTACCTGGTGAGTAGAGCCTCCGAATATACTCCCCGTTCGCGCGCGCAAAATCCCCATCACCAATCGCGTGCTCTCTTGCGTTTTGTATCCCTCCCAAGGGGTCATCGGTCACGCACCCGCTTACTCCGAAACGTCCAGGCTATGCGCGGGGTAACAATAGACCGCAAACACGTATAACAGCTCAAAGTTCAACATCCCTCGCACAGTGCCGAGCCACGGGAATTTGTCCGCTTGCAACGCCTTATCTGCGCACACAGGCTCCGGGACTCCCGCGCCCACTCCCGCCCCCCCCAAGCTTCCGCGTTCCGCCAATCTCCCCACCGAGGGGCATAGGGAACAGGACAGGGCACACTGGAGGTCGGCTGCAACCAATATCGCTCGATGTGCCGCTCAAAGCGACAGATTGAGGGCATATAAGGTGCGCCCCTTGGTCTTGTGCTCTGCAACCCCACCCATTCCTTGTCCTGTCCCTTAAGATTCAAGTACTCACGCCTCATCCGATACCTGTGGCGCCGGAGTCCGCCCCCACCCTTCCCGGCGCCGCCATGTGCGCGCGACATTGTTCGCGAGCCAGCGCGGCCTCGGCGGCACTGCGCTCGCAGCGAGATCGGAGCGCACACCGCGTCTCAGAGCCCGGCGCCGCGGCGCTTGTGAACGCACGCGTCGTGTGGACCCCTTCGTCTGGCGGTACCGTGGCGATGTGGCGCCCGTGGCTGGTCCGTACGGGTATAAAGTCGCGGCGGTCTCTGTCGCATTTCCTCCCATCCACCCTTCCTCCACGGTATCGTCGTCGTCTCTCTTTCCCTTCGATGCAGGCGTGCGCGTCCACGCCCCCTGGGCCGACCCCGTGCAAGCCTTGGGGCACCACGTACTCGCGCGCGCGGGCGCCGCGTCCAGTTGGGCGCGCGCCGCGGTGCGTGTGGTGGCGGCCGCAAGGATTGTGCGGGCTACGCGCTGGGGGACGTGCGATGCGTGTGACTTACCGTCGATGCTGACCTGTGTTGTGCTGATTTTCTCGCGCAGTCGTTCGGTCTTCCGACGCGAGCGTCGTGCGCTTGCTTATCGGATGGGGCTCGCCGTCCGGCACGTTGGCGACCGTGTCTGTGTGGCTATCTGCCACGATGGGTTGGTTGTCAGTGTGGAGAAATGGACAATGCGGGGAGGAGCCAGTGCGGGGTGGATGCCGGAGGTTTGAGATGTCGCGTGCAGGGTCGTGGTGGCGCGCCATCTGCGCCGCCCGGTCGCTTCGTTCTCGGCCGTACCTTGTACATAGTTCCGCACGTCTCGCTGCCTTATCAGTGTCGCGCAGGACAATCGGGAGAAGTCGTGTACAACTTCGAAGCGAGCGGGAGCAGACGGCAGCCTGTTGGCGCACGTGCTCATTTTGGCCACTCCGGAACTGGGCTCAGCCCCCGCGTACTATGGTTTCGTTAGCTCTCTGCGCCCAGCCGCCACGGGGCGCCCAAGAACAGAAACACATCGTCGCAGCGTTCGCCCCGCGGTCGGGGCGTTGGTGGTTGCGCGAGCCGCGCCCTATCCCCGACGGACGCGCGCCAGGGCCTCCAGCGGCGCACGTTCTACAACCCCGTCACCCCGCGGGGGACCAGAGCGGCCTGTGAAGATCTTGACGACGCTGCCTTGGTTTGGAGGCGGGGAAGCCTCAGGCCCTAGGGCCGCAGGCACCGCGCGTCGCGGACTGCGCAGGGATGTATGGGGTGTCGCGGGTGCCAAACGTGGGCCAGCGGTCGAGTAACCTTGGACAGCGTTTCGCGGCCGCTGGCGCGCCGCGCGACGCCATCGATGGGGGCGCGGAGCTGGTTGGCTCCTGAGGCCTGATGTTCCGCGCGGTGGGCGCGATATGTCACATAAACGCAGGAAGGCACGCACGCCGCCTGCTTCGCTGAGTGCGAATGTGGAGGAGAGATTTCCCGTGACAGGGAGGGAAGAAGAGGAGACGCACTGCGCCGACGTAAGTACCCGCAAACTACAAATTTGCAAGGGCGCGCAAAGTTAGTCTTCTCTGGGTTGGCCTGCATCCACTGGCGTCGTATCGAAGTCAAGTTCTCCGGCGAGATGTCTCGGCGGCTGTGTGTGTGTGTTTTTGCCGGATGTGGATGCAATGAAGGTGGACGAGATCAACTGAACGACGGAATTATCTTGGTGGCGCCAGTGGTCGGCGGATAGAGGCTGGACGCGGGAACGTCAAGCTTTCCGTTCAGCTCCAACGCACCCGAGACACAAGGCGAGAAACTCACGATAAAACCGACGTCCTCATACAGTGGGGGTCCTGGATGTTGCACAAACGATACAGAACGTATCAGCGATCCAGTGGCTCATGTATGTTCACGTATTACAACGCGTCGATGTGGGCTGTGTGGGAAGCCGATTTCCAGACGATGATTTGTGCGGCTCACAGTCCTGTCCCAGCTCTATGTCCTCGAAGTCTCGAGAGACTGGAATTGGCACCTGAGCTGGCTGCTTAACGTCTTGCGTAGCAATGGGAACGCACAAGCGCTGCGAAATCCATGCGCGTTCATTTAGGAGAACTCTGGGTAAACATTGGCAAGCTGAAACGTATTTTCTCAGTCAAAGAAATTGAAAAGGCAGCTGGTAACAAACTGGTAGAGACCTCGGCTTCCCGCCCATACGCGATCGAAAGCGACGTTTGGGCGAAGCGGCCAGAATCCCCGAGAGCCGCTACCGCCCCCGCTGCACCGCAACCGACTGCGTATGAGCGGGAAGCCGAGGTCGCTATCGTTTCGCCATGTGTACACCGGTTGGAAAGATTGTGTACCACCTGTGGAAATTGAATGCGAGCGATGTGTCGGAATGAAGGCATATTCTTCGCCCGCCTTGGTTGGACAGGATAAATACGCACAAGGGTCACTGGTCACCGGTCAGCAACAGCTGTTACCCAAGTAAGTACCTAGGGTCATAAAGACGATTCGCGACGAGTCGCGGATCCGATGGAAGCGCGCGCGATTCTTTGGGCGTCTGGTCCGCGAGCGGAGCCGAGCGGAGTTTCAGCCACTGGCGCCTTCATCACCGTGCATCGCATCCGCCCAACACCAACCCTCTCGCTCATCCCCCAAAGCCGGCATCTTCAAGACACCTCTCAAGCCAAAATGGTGAGCACATCCATGGCGTCGTCTTATGTCGTGGTGCATGCGGAGCAGCGGTGGATCCTGCCAGAGTGAAGGATTTGGGATGGATGGTACGTCGCGCAATCGGATGTCACTTCGACGTTTGCTCACATCCGGCTTCCAGGCAGGACCCTCTCGCGACAGCGATACATAGCCCAGGCTGAGCTATCCCTTTCGTGGGGATGGCGACGACGCTTGCGGCATGCTGGGTTCGTCCTCGCTCAGCGAGGCGGACACTAGAGCTCCGAGTGCCAAGCGACGGCGGCGCCTTCTTCGTGAAGTGCACACAGCCAGCTGACTGCCTCGTCTCAATGACCAGCCCCCCAAGTCCAAGACCGGAAAGAAGCCCGCCTCCGCTCCCTTCGCGAGCAAGACCGGTAAGGTCGAGAAGAACCCTCTCTTCGAGTCCCGCCCGAAGAACTTCGGCATTGGTGCGCCTCAACAATTGTCACCATCTCTCTTTGGCGCAGCATGCTCACTATGGCTCTAGGTCAGGACATTCAGCCCGTCAAGGACCTCACCCGCTTCGTCAAGTGGCCGGAGTACGTCCGCCTCCAGCGCCAGAAGGTTATCCTCAGCCAGCGCCTCAAGGTCCCCCCCGCCATCGCCCAGTTCCACCACACTCTCGACAAGAACACGGCGACTCAGCTCTTCAAGCTCCTGAACAAGTACCGCCCCGAGACGAAGCAGGAGAAGAAGGCACGTCTTGAGGCGACTGCTCAGGCGGCTGCGGCGGACAAGTCGGCGAAGCAGGTACGTCTACGTCTCATGTTCCGCTTTGCGCACTGGCCAACCGTCTTCTTCAGGACACAAAGAAGCCGATGTTCGTCAAGTACGGTCTCAACCACTGTGTCGCCCTCATCGAGGCGAAGAAGGCGTCGCTCGTCGTCATCGCGCACGACGTCGACCCTATCGAGCTCGTCGTCTTCCTTCCCGCTCTCTGCCGCAAGATGGGTGTACCCTACGTCATCGTCAAGGGCAAGGCCCGTCTCGGCACGGTCGTCCACAAGAAGACCGCCGCCGTCCTCACCATCCAGGACGTCAAGAGCGAGGATCAGCGCGAGCTCGCGACCCTCATCAGCGCCGCGAAGGCCAACTTGTGAGTGCCTTTTCAGGGTTCTGTCTCATGCATGTTTTTTTACTATGGCTCGTAGCACCGACAAGTACGAGGAGCAGCGCCGCCTGTGGGGCGGAGGTCTCCGGGGTGCGAAGTCGACCCAGATGCTCCGCAAGCGCGCCAAGGCCGCCGGCCAGGTTCTCTCTGCTGCCAACGCGCAGAAGCTTTGAGCGGTCTCGCCGTCGTGTGTTGGCAAGGTCGGCTCTCTGCCTCATAAAAGACAGCTTATGTCGTCGTCGCAGTATCGCCCATGTGTAGCGTATGCTTTATGGTATATGTCGTTGTGGTCTCATGCGGCGGGATTAGTCGATATGCATGGCGGGGTCGTGTATTTGTACAGTATTGGATTGTAATCTAGGTCGTCTATCGACTGCGCACCTACTTCTGACTAGGTGTGGGCGCTGTCATGGGAGCCTGTGTCGTCCTTGGGCCCGTAGAGCCTTGGAATGCGAGGAGATCGACGACAACGCCGGCGCCACTTTGCATGCGACCGAGACGTTCGTACAGGTTCTGAACGATGCGGCCTTCCTCGATGACGGCCTTTTCCTGCTCTGTCGCGGCGGCGCTGGAAGGGTCGAGCGGGAGGCCGCCGACGCCCGAGTCGCGGAGGAGAGTGACGAGGGCGGCGAGGGTCTGCTTGAGGTTCTGGATGTCCGCTGGGCACGGGGGGAAGAGGAGGACGAAGGGGAGCAAGCGAGCGAGTAAGGAGGAGGGTCACGACTCGCGCGCATGTCGGGGACCGAGACGCACCTGCGGTCTGGAGCGGGTTCGTGCCGGGGTGGTATGCGAGGGCGACGCCGGTGAGGGCGGCGCGGGCGAGGGCGTGCACGCGGGAGACGAGGACCTGGGCGAGCTGGATGTTGGCCTTGAAGACCTCAGGCGCGTGGGGGTCTTGCAGTTGCACGGGCGCGGGGACGGGGAGGGACGCAGGGGGGAAGGTGGCTGGGTCGTAGGCGAGCGGGCCAAGGGGATAGAAGGGCTGGTGTTGCATGTTGGGGAAGGGAGGAGGCGGGGGACGGAGGTGATGGGTGCGAGGAATGGCGGTCGGGAGCAAGAGCGACGGAAGCGCCGGCTCGATTGCGGGGTTCGGGCCGGAAGGACACCTGCTCGTACGTCACCGCGATATACGCAAGATATACGGTGACACTGCGGGCAGATGCCCTATTTCCCACGTGGTGATAGCCATGCTGTAGCCGTGTTATAGGTTTCCTTTGTCTTGAATAGACACATGACTGTTGCACAATGCGACAGTTAGACTTTTGTCCGCCTTGCACATCGCTGCCCCATCGCCGGATAGTCTTCCTTGCACATGACTATACCCTGGCTGTACCCTGACTGTCACCCCACGTGACAGGTAGACTATTGCATGGCTGTCCCGTCGCGCGCGGGGTAAACTGCTGCTTTACTATACCTAGACTACCTATTGCCTCGCGCACAAAGTTGCCTGCCGCTTCGTTATACCTCGAATATTGCCCCGCATGCAAGGTAGATTTCCACTGCGCTATGCTTCGATTATCCCCGCGCGTAGCTATTCTCAGGCCCAGTGACGGCGCTTATGGTTGCGGGTCGGTCCGCGCGCGCTAGCCTCGTCGCCAACGACAGCTCCACCACCTGGCACCATGATGCATGACCTCGGCAAGTCCTTCCCCATCCCCCTCAGTGCTCACGCTTCATCCCATCACTGAGCCATTCTTCGCGCGTGTGCATCGTGAGCACGTGCTGCGTGCGCTGCGGCGGGTGGTGTAGTGGTACGCGTGCCTGGAGGATGTGCTTGATATCTGTAGACTGCTGGATCGACTATACCTGATGGACCGCAGGATACTGTGGAGGCTGCGGTGGTCCCAGGCGGGGAGGGCAAGGAGGACGGCGTCACAGGGTGTTGGGGACACTGCACAGGAGCTCCCGGTGGCGAGTTATTGGGTATATTTGAGGTATAACGAAGCGGCAGGCAACTTTGTGCGCGAGGCAATAGGTAGTCGAGGGATAGCGAAGCAGCAGGCAACCTCGCGCGCGATGCGACAGCCATGTGCTAGTCTACCTATCACATGGGGCGATAGTCGGGGTATAGCCAGGGTATAGTCATGTGCAAGGAAAGCTATCCGGCGGGGGGGCAGCGATGCGCAAGGCAGACAAAAGTCTAACTGTCGCGTCGCGCAACAGCCATGTGTCCATTCAAGACAAAGGAAACCTATACCACCGCCGCGACATGGCTATCGCCCCGTGGGAAATAGGGCACCTGCCCGCAGTGTGAGGATATGTCGTGGGGAGTTCTGGAAACCAGATCGGCTGGGGTGGGCGTAAGCTCGAATCACGTCAAGCTGGCGGGCGAGAGGGATACTATATCATATAAGTAGACAGTGCCCCAAGCGTCCGCGGTACGCATCCGCCCGCTTGCACCCCTTCGGACCACCCGGCTTCGCCATCTTGAGCTCACTCACCGTTCATGAAACGCGCCCACTACGATCTCACACACAGACACGCGTTCGCCACGACTTCACGAGGAAGTCCAGAAGATCGCGGCGAGTTCTAGTGGGTAATCATGCAGTCATGGTCGTGCCCTCGCGATGACTTCTCGAAGCTCTCAGCGCTCGTAAAACATACGGTGAGTGACCATTGTCCTGACGTACCGGCTGCCGCTCATGAGGCTACCGCAGCGTGCCTTGCGCTTGCTTCCGCGGCACCTCGCGCTTGCCTCGCGCCGTGGGGTGTACGGCTACTACCCCAAGTCCGAAACCGATCCCGCGCGACGCTTGAGTCCAGAGGAAGACTTGCGAGAACATGGAGGCGCATCTCGATCGTTGTAGTGCTCAGGCGCGAGCGTAAGTATGTCGCGAACAGTTGCGTTCAAGGTGGAATTGGTGAGCTCGTGACTGGCGCGTGTTTTCCCCCTACCGCAGCAACGCGATGGTGACGTAAGCGGCCTTCCCACAGACAAATTGGGCAGCTGCAGCACAGATCGGCTGATATGCCCTCCCCCCTCTCGTCGCCTCGTCTTCGTTCTCCAAGGAGTCTCGTCTCTCATCCGAACGTTACTGCTCCTCGCTACACTGAACGATGCCCCCGCGCGGAAACCCGGACAGAGGCCGTGGAGGCCCTCGTGGCGGCGGCGGCGGCGGATCCCGGGGTGGCTCGCGCGGCGGCACGGGCTCGCGTGGAGGTGCGCCCTCGACCCGAGGTGGTAGCGTCGCCGGCGGGCCTCCTGGACCTGCGATCCGTGCTGCACCGGCCTCCGTCGCAGGCGGTCTGCCCGAAGGCCACATCACCACCGTCGGCGTCAAGAGGCCTTCGTTTGGTAACAGCGGCCGTCTGACCAGGGTGACCACAAACCACTTCGAGGTTTCGATCCCGCAGGAGATTATCCACCACTACGATGGTACGTCTATTACCGCTGCCTATTGAACACCCTCTCATGCTTTCCTTGCAGTCGGTGAGTCGCCTTGGCGTCTGCGTGACTGTCGCCCATGCTCATCTCGCGTGTCCAGTGATCACGCCTGCCTCGCGCCCACTCCCCGCGCGGCTGAACATGGAAATCATCAGACGCCTGCAGACGGTCGTCGCACCGCAGGTTTTTACCCCTCGAGCGGTGTACGATGGCCGGGCGAACATGTACTGTACACGGGAGCTGCCGTTCGGGCCATCCGGTTCCCACAAGGCAAGCTCACTGCGTTCCGTATCTGCGGATACTGACCTCCTCGCGCAGTTTGATTTTACGCTGGTCGACACGCCGTCGTCGGGTCAGGCTCAGCCTGCTGCTACGGAGGGCAGACCTCGCGGGCCGAAGACGTACACTGTCAAACTCACCCATGCTGCGACTATCAACCCCGAGTAGGTGACGCTTTCCCTTCCGCCTTTCCGCGCTGACGACTCGGTCTCGCAGAGTGCTCTCGCGCTTCCTCAAAGGGAAGCAGTCCCAGGACAACGCCATCCTCACCGCAATTCAGGTGGGTTTGCATCCATGGCGTTGCACCACGTCTGTTCACCCTCACCTCTCCAGGCCCTGAACGTCGCCGTGCGCATGGAGCCGTACAGCAGATACCCGTTCAACACCCGGTCCTTCTTCACAAGCCAAGGTTCCCGCGACATCGGTAGCGGCATGCACCTCTGGCGCGGATACTTCCAGTCGGTGCGCCCCTCGTTCGGCCGGATGCTTATCAACGTCGACATTTCCGCGGCGGTCATGTACGCTCCCGGGCCTGTGATCCAAGTCGCATTCCAAGTGCTCGAGATGCCCCCTAACACGAACCCTGAGGCACTCGCGCCCGCGAAGGGCTTCCCAGAGCGCGCACGGGGCAAGCTCGAGCGGTTCCTCCGCGGGTTGCGCGTCCACGTCCAGATCCCGGGACAGCCGCCAATCGGGAACCGTCCCGCTCGAACCGTGCAGGGTCTCTCCACCGTCGGCGCGGACTCATACCGATTCGACCTCGAGACGGGCGAGAAGATCTCGGTCGCGCAGCACTTCCAGCGCACGCACAACTACAAGCTCCGTCACCCGGGCGTTGTTTGTGTTCAGGTGTGTGGGGCACGATGGAGGCGTAGAAACCAGCTGCTGACGACGGCGCGCAGATTGGGAAGGGGATGTTCCCGCTGGAGGTCTGCGTCATCCCCGAAGGCCAGCTCATGCGCAAGCAACTCCCTCCGGAGAAGACGGACGCGATGGTCCAGTTCTCCACGCAGAAGCCGCACGACCGTCTGGGCAGCATCGTGCAAGCGCTCGGGGTGCTCGCATATGGCCAGTCCGAGTATGTCCGGGTGCGTGCTGGGCGCTGCGTCGAATGCCTCTTCAGCTGACTCTGCGTGCAAAGCAATTCGGGATGCAACTCGCCAAGAACGACCCGCTCGCGATCGACGCGCGCATCATCGACACGCCCACTCTTAAGTACGGCCCCGGCAGCCGGCAGCCGACTGTAGTGAGCGCAATATGTTCGTGTCCGCCGCCACGTCTCCGCTAACCGGCACGTCGACAGCGCCCCCGAGACGGCGCGTGGAACATGTATGTGACGCGTCGACAGCGTGGTCTCATGCGCTGACTGTTCGGTCCAGGATCGACAAGAAATTCTGGAAGTCGGCGCTCATCAAGCGGTGGGTGGTTGTAGTCTACGAGCGCGAGCAACGGTACAACAGGAACACGGCGGGCGAGATGGTGCAGGGCTTGCTCTTCGCGCTGAACGCGGCTGGTGCGTGCACTCTTGCGACGGTTTGCACCTACGCTCACTCCGTTATCGGCAAGGCGTCGTGGTGCAAGAGCCCGATCCTGTGATCCGATATCAAACGATCCAGCAGGGCAGGGTTGCGGATGTGAGCGTAATTGGGTCCGCCATAAATCGCCGTCTGACCATCTCCTGATGTAGCACCTTAAAGAGGCCGGCCGCCAGTGTCTGCTCAAGAACAAGAACGCCGGGGGGCCCGATCTCATCGTTGTCGTGCTCCCCATGGCCTCCGTGGACATCTACACCGCCGTTAAACAGTGCGTCCTTCCCATGCCGTCCAGCCGTTCGCCGCATTCTCACTCTATCCCCCGCGGCTAGCTTCGGTGATTGTTCGCAAGGGGTCGCGACGCAGTGCATGCAGGCGTCCAAGTGCTCGCGCGCCAAGCCGCAGTACTACGCCAATGTCGCGCTCAAGTGAGCCCAGCCTTCCAGCGCTCTAGATAAACGTGCTCACCGTGTACGCAGGATCAACGTCAAGCTCGGGGGGATAAACACCGTCCCGGACTCACGCTCCGTGCCCGTCCTGACGGACCCGCACAACCCGACTATCGTCATGGGGTGCGTCTCTGCGTGACCCGTCGTGCTGTTGCTGACCCCCACCGTCTAGCGCGGACGTCATCCACCCCGCCCCGGGAACGCAGGGACGCCCGTCCTTCACGTCGCTCGTCGGCAACGTCGACTCGGACACGGCCAAGTACGTCGCGGAGCTGCAGGTGCAGGCGGGCCGACAGGAGATGATCGAGGGCCTGGAGGAGATGGCGGGGAAGATCATCAAGATGTACCAGAGCTACCGGTCGCAGGCGGAGGGGAAGAGGGGCGTAGCGCCGACGCGAATCATCTTCTACCGCGACGGTGTCTCGGAGGGCGAGTTCCAGCAGGTGCTGGATTACGGTGAGTGGACTCGACACTCAGAACGATCCTTCAGAGCTGACGAGCGCGCGACGCAATGAAGAGCTGCCACAGCTGAAGAGTGAGTGGTTCTCCAGGCGGATATCCTGAGGAGTGACTGACGCGTTGTGCTTCGCAGGGGCGTGCGAGGCCGCCGGCGTGCAGCCCAAAATCACCGTCATCGTCGTCGGGAAGCGCCACCATGTACGCTTCTTCCCGGGCGGCGGCGATTCCGACCGCAGCGGTAACTGCCTGCCCGGACTCGTAGTGGACAACCATATCACGCACCCCACCGAATTCGATTTTTATCTCCAGAGTCATGCTGGATAAGTCTGCTTGCTCGCATCTGCCGTCGCCCCTCACGCTGACACGATCTCTCCTGTGTTCGGGTATATACTATTCAGGGCACGTCTCGTCCTGCGCACTACTCCGTCCTCTACGACGAGAACAAGTTCACCCCGGACAGCATCCAGGCGCTCTCCTTCGCGCTCTGCCACGTCTACGCGCGTTCCACGCGCTCGGTCTCCATCCCCGCGCCCGTGTATTGTAAGTCCCGATCCCCGCTCATCGTTGGCACACGCGAGGCTGACGCGCACGGGGCGGCACAGACGCGGACATCGTGTGTTCGCGCGCGAAGTACCACTACGACCCGGACGGCTCGCAGCACCTGTCGATGGAGGAGTCGGGGACGCACATGGGCTCGGCGGAGGCGAACACGCAGCTGGAGGCGTTCCGCGCCGGGTTCAGGCCGCTCAACGAGAAGATCCGCAAGCTCATGTACTTTTCTTAAGGCGCTCGCGGCGGCGGCGCTGGTGAAGATGCGCTCTCCACACGGCTACCCCTTTCCTGCACACTTTGTAACTTCGCCTCACGGACATTGGATTCTCTTGCTTTATAACATAAACCCGTTGTGATCAGCGTCCTTGTTCCTGTACTCATAGGCATAAGCCCCTCACCACATTTCACGCACGCACATGGATCGGGACGCGATTACAATGTACATAACACACAACACATACGGCGCACGGGTACTTCGAATTTGTAACACTGCGCTTCTTGGCCCATATGTCCTCTGAGGGTGGGCTGTACTAGTACAAGAGAAATTGAGCATGACCGCGTTCATACTGCCAAAGTTCGTTCTCCACTTGCCGACGAGGTGCAGCAGTACCGGCCGCGCCCGGCGAGCCAACTTGGGCGAGCGTGCGAGACGACCGCCGGGGCCTGTGAAGCCTTGACGACCTGGAGGGCGAGCGGCGTCTGGTTTGGGGGAGCTCGAAGGTGGGATTCGGGGGATGTGGGCGTGGCAGTTGGAGGTGATGGTGGTGGAGCAGCGGGGCGGCTGACGGGCGAGCTGGAGGGCGTCGGCGGCGCTGCACAGCTCGGCGAGTTGAATCCGTGCACGAGCCCGACTGTCCTGGCGTTCTGGACGACGACGCGTGCGGAGGGGAGCTGGACCGCCCTCGTGTATCTGGAGGTGGGATGGGGTGGTGCGCGGGGCGCCGAGGGGGTATGCGTCCTGCGTGGGCATGGGTGCACGTGGGGATCCCAGCAAGTGGTTGTGGGAGGACGGAGGGGGCGCGCCTCCATCACCTGGCCGCCTCCATCGCCTGGCCGCCGCCTCCGCCGACGTGGGTCGTCACATCGACCTGCGTCTCACGCCAGGGCGGCTCTGCGAGAGACGGAGACAGGGAGGCCGTCGATGGCGTGGATCACCCACAGCGTCGGACCCTCGACGCACTGCAGGGACGCGTGAGTCAACTGTTCGTCGAGCGCGGAACGCATGAAGAGCGGGAGACGCACCGAGACCAATGGACCATCTGGTCGACTCGCATCGGGCTCCCAGGTACCAGCCTGCGAGCCCGCGCACGACGTTCGCGTCGAGCACCCACTTGTGCGGGTACGCGGTGCCCCTCGTCCGGGCCGCGTCACGGAGCCGATACAGTTCAGGTGTTTCCCGTGCGAGATCGGTGCGAGATTGTAGTATGCTGTAGCCTGAGACAAGTCGACGCGCACATCCGCCGCTCACAGCGATTTCCCGTTCTGCCCTCCACGCGTCAGCCTCAACTGAGACGATGAAAGACAGACAAGTACTCACTCTGATCAGCGCCGTCATACGCAGCGCCGTTCCGAGCGCGCAGCCATCCACTTCGGGCGGACCACGGGCGTGCTGCCCCCACTGCGGTCGAACTCGCCCGGGTGCCTACACCGTCGTCCGCGCGGATGAGGGCGTCTGCGGTCGCGTGGGTGCCGTCAGGGAATTGCAAGGTGTATGAGCCGTTGGGTTGAAGGAGGGTGGTAGGATGAGAGGCACCGATGGTGTAGCATGCGCGGGGGTGGCGGACGAGGGCGTAGACCATGCCGGCGCGGCACATCGTGGTCGCGCCTTCTGTACGCGCGAGCGGGGGGTGGACAGTGGGAGGGGAGGGAGACCGACCTGGGACCGTGACGCGTCCAGACTTGAAGCCCCTACGGGCTCTGGGGCGGGTGAGTGTCTTCATGCCCCTCGCCGTCCCTTCCATCCGGTCCCCGTCCTTCTCCGTCCCCTCCAACGGTCGTGAGTTCGGGCCCGGGCTAGTGCATGTCGGTCTCGATGGGTGACGCCAGATCTTATTCGAAGAACCCGTATGCGATGGCCTGCGCTGCTATACCTCTACCGCTGTGATGCAGGAAACATCAGGTCGAGGAATTAGACAGGGGTCAAGGGGAACGTACACGATCTCCTGGCGAAAGCAGGGTTGGGTGGGTGGCATGTCTTTGGGCATGTCTTGGGTTTGGGTGGATGAAGAAGTGCGCGTGGTGGGAGAACGGGTGCCGCCGCCAGCCAAACCCTAGATCAAGGTTCCAATACTCAACGCCGCCGTCGAAATGCTGCCACGCGCCTGGTTGGCCCTGCTCCTCCACGCAAACGCTGCCGAACTCGCCGGCCACCCTCGCGCTCCATACTATCAGACACTATTCAGAAGCGGTAACGACGGAGGAGCGTTCTTGAACGCATGGAGGAACAACGCGTCATCATAGAGCACAAGGTGCTTCCGGTTGAAGGAGCCGTCAACGGTGAGTTCTAATTTAGTCACACGATCCACTATAACGACCTTGAACAAGAAACAGGATCGGAACCGAGGCGCTGCCTACCGCCTGCGTCTTCATTCTGCCCATCATACAAAAAAGCAACACGCACCACCACTCCCTCTACATACTCATCCATAAGATCAGACAATCAGCGTGATCCCACGGGCACTCCTCGTTCGTTCTCTCCATGTTCCCGCGCGTGTCCGACCGCGGATGGTGGGCGTTTTCAGGGCGCGATCCATCGCATGACCCGTGGTGGGTGCCTTGACGATGATCTCACCCGCAATATGTAGCAAGTGGCTCACCCAGCTCTTCCCTCAAGCGCGAGGCGACCCTCGGATCGCAGACAGAGACAACCCCCCATGGTGCCCCAAGACGGAACCTATCTCGGTGTTTCACGCGTTCAGTTCATCGCGCGCCGCACCGCTTGTCTCGCCATCTCTTTGTCGCATTCCATTTTGCCGCCCTTTTTATTTCGCGCCTTCCCGGAAGCTGCCGCGTGGAACCAGGAAACGGAAAGTCACGTCGCTATCCAGCGCGTGCGGCGCAGAACGCGGGCGGTGGGAGGGAAGCCGCGTGTAGTCCATTCCTGTACCCATAATTGGTGGTTATGTGGGCGGCGAGGTCGGCGGCAGAAGAACGGCTGCACGTCCAATCCGGATGAACTAGAATCGGGAGAGGCTGGTGGTGCGCGTGTGTGCCTCAGGGCTCGGCCCAGTGCCACGAAGCGTGTGTCCGGAACGGATCATTTGGGCGTCCGACGCTCGATGGTTCAACTGAAGGATGTCGTCGACCCTATATTGTTGCGACGTCCACAGATTCAGACTTTATCCAGCGTATGTACTGAACAAGAAGCGCATACAGCACAGGGTCCCGGCGCCACGGTACGCAGCTCCCCGCATTCAGACCGGTGGGGCGGCACAACGAGATGGCGGTATTGTGAACCCGGACACACCAGTTGTACATCGAGAATGGGCTCGTTTCCTTGTGTATGTTGTGCCATATGCGATCGACGGGACGAGGAGTCAGATTCTTCCCGCGTCCGCGGGGACTCGTCACTCGATGTCTGTCCCCGGCGGCCGCTTTCGGATCGCTGTGCACTGAGGAAGTCTTTCACTCCTGAGGCCTGAGCATAACCGGGCGCGCGGGTGGTGGCCCTGGGCGTTGCGACAGCCGCGTCGGTCGAGCGCGCTGAGTATAACAATCAGAGACAGGGAGCCGCGGCGACGAGAAGAGTTGCAAGCTTTGTGTCAGACTCCGTAGGTATGGGGGACAGACGGTGGGTGTGGAGAGAGAGGAGAACTGGCACGGTCTCGCCGCGCGCCGCGGTATCATGCAAGCGCTCATTCCCGTTTTGGATGCGCCTGTTCGAGCGACCGCCACTCTCACTGGCACCTGCGTCCTGCCGTGATCTCTCAATCCATCCTATCCTTTTCTCACTCGAGGAGACGGCCCATTTCGTCCGTACACTCGTCAAGCGCTGCAATCTCGAATCGCTATATAAACCTCCGACGTGCAGTCGTCTTCAGTAAGTTCCAGACCCTCATTCGAAAACTCGTCCACAATGGCCTCCACCATAAGCACCATCTCCACCTCCAATACTCCTCCCTCTAATAACTCCCTTGAACCGGATACTAAGACTCCCCCGCTAGGTTCGCCCGTGAACTTGGACGATAAAGACACCACACCACGGCACATTGACCCTGCCAGTGTTGGATTAGGACCTCACACGGTCGACGACAAGTACGCTCCTGGAGGTAAAGGAAGGCGCCAAGCCTCCGCCATGAAGGATCAGCACATACGCGAGTTCTACGAGGAGAAGAATGTCGGGCGTATTTTCCGCGACCACCTTGGTGGCGAGCTGGGTAAATCGCAAGCACTGATGGACAAGATCCCATCGGCACGTTTGGACTTCGAGAGTCACCCCAAGCCAAGCGAGTCGCGCATCGTTATCGAAGTCGTGAGCCCTTGTACTTTCGTCTGTATTGTCTGTTTTCATTCTAATCCCCGTCTATCAGGCCTGGATCGCGAACGAGGTCATAAAGATTCTGGCGGCGGAGTCCGAAGAAAGTCGCAGCACCACCCTCAAGCAAACCTATGAACGCCTCCTTGACGCTGAAATAACCCTCAAAGAAGCGCACATGAAACGAATGCAGTCTCTTGCGATCCGGCGTACCGTTTGGGCACAGGTGTGCGGAAAGATCTCAAGGGACACTGACTCGCCTGCTCCGAGGAATGTTGAAGTTGAAGACGAATTGTTTCGAGAGGGTGCTGTAGGATACGAGCGGACCTCCGACTCAGACATTCCACACGACGAGAGCGGATACGAGAGCAATTACAACGACCATAAGCTGGCACATGATGGCGCCACTGAACAACACGTCAAGTATCACACGGAGTACCAGGCGGCCGACCGAGAGTACCGGATGCTCTGTGAGCAGCTTCCATCGCAGCCGGACGTTTTCAACGCTCGCCGGGCTTCGGTCTGCGCAGAATGCGACGAAGGGCTGGGGGGCATCTACAAGAAGTCCTGTGAGGTTTGTAACCGTCACGTCGACGATACCTACGAGCAGGCACATACAATGTATCGCAAAGCGTATCAGAAGCACGAAGCCGCCAGCAAAGCCTATAATCTGGCCCGTTGGGAGTATGACTGTCTATGCGACCCTACTCGGGTTCCTGTCAGAGTCTTGGATACATCCACACATGACCCAAAGAACGACCCCGCGGACGATGACGTACCAGACGTCCACGGTGCGCTCAGACCCGATCTGTGCGTGTACTTTGGCGGGGACAGCGTCACCGATCGCCCCGACGTCGCTCTTTCGGACGCAGAGAAGGACAAGTGGTACAAGGACAAGGTGGCGAACATCACGGACGAAGAATCCAAGTCGATCTACGAACATCACAGCAAGTGTCTTGGAAAAGCCTCCCTCGCCGACGTTCTTGTGCCGATCGAAGTCAAGGCTGACCCGAGCGACTCCGCGTTCACGTTCCCTGGCATCACTCCCGCCGGCAAGAAGGCCAACAAGCAGTCAGTCGTTCGCGAACCGGTCAAATCACATGGACAGGTCAACCAGTACTGCGCGGCGATCCTGGAGAGGCAGCACAGGACCAAGCTCATTGCGCTATACGTCTGTCGCTACCAAGCGCGGATCATTGTAGTGGATCATGGGTCCTTCATAATCTCCGAGCCGTTCGGATGGCGTACGAAGGACGACACGACGCTGTACGAGTTCTTCTGGCGCGTCGCGCTCCTCTCCAGTGGAAATTCTAAGGGGGTCCTGGGCCTAGACCCCTCGGTCACACGTGTCCCCCACGACGAAGGGAAGCGCATCATCGAGGGGTACATCGAGAGGAATCTGCCGCTGACTCACCTTGAGAATACGCCATCAGAGGATCGTGTCGACGGCAAGCAGTCGAGCACCCTCAGACCGGGGTTGCGCGACGAGTGGGTGGCCTACATCTCGCGCAAGATGCGCCTCTCCATGCCCACTTCGCAGTGGCCCTTCTACCGTCTCAGCATAGGCGGCAAGAAGTATCTGATCGCGGCGCCAAGCACCACGACCAGCGCGCTCTTCGGGCCTTCCCGTCGCATCTTCATCGCCTACTGCGAGGACGACGACGAGTTGCGCACGGTCAAGGACTACTGGCGACTCGACTCGGACGACCCGATTCCACTCGAACACGACACTTATGCCCGCCTCGCTCTCCACAAGGTCAGGAATGTGCCCGAGTGCGTCTGCGGGGAAGACGTCCGAACCGGTGGACCAGACGGCGACCCGCAGCGTACGGCGACACTGGATCGGTGGGGGCCCAACCCCAAGGCGAACACGCTCGTGCACTATCGCATCGTTTTGAAGCAAGTGTACAAGCCGCTGCTCAACTTCGGCGACTTCCGCAGCTTGTGCGGATACCTAGTGGACGCCATGGAAGGTGCGTGACTCGAGCGACCACTGATACATTGGTACGCGACGGATGACTGACCACCACTCTGCTACTACTTACAGCGCACCTCGACGCGTGTGAGAAGGCGCGTGTGATACACCGCTCGATCAGCATCTGGAGCGTTGGTCTCTACGTTTTCCCGGGTGAAGTGACCCAGCCTCGCTGCCTGCTCGGCGATTGGGAGTGGGCGAAGACGCAAGAAGAGATCGCCCAGAAGAAGGCTCGGCGAGAAGTGATCCCGGTGAGCCTTCTGATTACTTCTACGGCGATCGGGGGGACCTGCGGACTGAACATTCTTGTTCAGGGCGCGTGGTACTTCCAATCAGCGCTGGTGGCGAGATTCCCTGCTCGTGGCTACGCCATCTCGGACGACGTTGAGTCGTTCGTTCACCTCTTCCAGTACACCGTCTTGCGCTTCACCCCGACGGTTTGCACACCACTCTTGGGTTATTTCGACGGGATCGACGCGGACACGACCCCCGCGGGCATTCTCCGAAAGGTTGTCAACATGGTGTACGTCGACTACGGACTATCAAACACTGAAAGGTACTTCGGCGGCAACAAGAAACTCGAGTTCACCAATCGTAAGCGCTCCTGGGTCGAGCCGGCGGACGAATCAAAGAGAACCCTCATGGAGGTCTTGAACGAGCTCGCAAAGACGGTGCATGAACACTACTCGTCGTTCAGTGTAGATGACTACATGAAGCATTACTCTTCAATATTACCACGGCCGCAGCGCGCTAGTAGCCCGGCGACCTCCAGTGACAACGAAGATGACGGCGAGGCGGATGGAGAAGCCGATGATGCGATGGATGTAGATGACTCCGCCGACGACAGCGCCGGTGAGGCCGCCGGAGACCCCGACAAGGACACCATGGATATAGATGACGCCGATGATAGCGCCGGTGAGGCCGCCGGAGACCTCGACAAGGGCACCATGGTGGATACGGGAGACAGCGGGCCTCCTTGGATGCTCCCTTCCAAGGAGTGTGATAACAATCCTTTTCCCATGGCCAAAGAGAACGGTCCGTTGAAGGACCATTCCGTGCTGCTGGAATTGTTCCGCAAGTATGCCAACGGCACGAAGCGGTGGACTCCGGGGGAGGCTAAAGCTGACAAGGACTTGTTCCAAAGTGCATACAGATCCAAGGGTCAGAAACGACGGTGAATTGCTACAGTTGTGTACTTTATCATGTGGACGAAGGAGATAGCCCGCTTGAGTGCCCCTTGTACGTTGTCGTAGTGCCGTAGAATCTGTGTCAAAATTGACTTGAATATACCATTTCCCTAAATCGCGACGCCTCAGAAGACGAGCCGCGCCCAGTCAACCGCGCCGCGTTCACGTACTGGCAAGTATAAGTGTCTGTTATGCTTGTGTCGTCTGAGTCCGATATGCGGTCAACAGGATGCAACGTTCGTTCACACATCTGAAGTCGTTCGTCAAGGGCTCGGAAGGGAAACGCGGCACCGCGATCGTCTGGTACTAGAACTCTGGCTCGCAAGCTCGCGAAATCGCACAGGACGTCGTCTCGCTTCTCAGCCAAAGTCAACGTGTGCCGGTACGTCAAGATGTCCCCGTGCCCCCTTCCCATGCGAGATTGGGTGCGAGCTTATGTGCTGCGGCGCGCGGCCACTCGGTCTGTGCACCGCTGACTAGAGCGCACACAGGTAGAACTTAAGTGACCCCATTCTCCATCTCCGACGGCGCGTCCTGACGCCATATCTCCCCCCAACGACCATGCTCTCCATCGCGCGAATGCCCCCGGGTGCGCGCGGTCGCTCGGCACACGAAGGGCGCATACATCCCCGGCGGCCTCCACGCGGATCCGCACACAGATACGGAATGTCTCCAGCACGTGGTGGACGTCTACGAAGACGTCTGGCTCCCCGCGTTCGTCCGCGCCGTCGCCAAAAACATGGTCACGGTGGGACGCGTGTACTTCCATACTCAGCCCACCTGGACTGCACGGCACCGACCGCGCGCACAGCGCGTCGTCGGGGCCGAGCTGTGGTAGTGGGCGAGGTTGAGAGGAGGGCAATACACGGGGTTCGTAAAAAAGACGGACCTAGGACCCAAACTTGAGGCCCTCGCGCGCCCAGTCCGACTTGCGGAACGACGATGCCAAAACGGCGCAACGTGCTTGCGAGAGGAACACTTGATACGGCTCCGCCTGTGAGTCGGGGCCCTCGGAAATCTAGAGAACAAGTTTCGGGACGAAGTTACGCACACGGCGGAAGCGCGGCTTGGCGGGCGGACTGTTGTTGGACATGGCGGCGAGCTACTATCTGCTTCTGCATCACTGCGCACTGTCTTCATGACGAGTTAGTGTTCCTTGCGCTGAAAGTACGAGTTACCATGGGCTTGGGGACAGCCTATTCCCCGTGTGCGGCGACAACGATGGTACACAGCCTACAGGAGCCGCGAGCACGGAAGAAAATCTGTGTAACGACAATTAAAACCTGGTAGACATGCATGAGAGTACGTCAGCAGATAATCACTGGGAACACGACACATCACTTCTGCTTGCGCAGCGACTAATTCGCACATACAAGCAGTAACAAAAGAGTCAAAGGACGGCGTACCACTGGAAGAGCAGACGATGGTGACCAGGAGGAGGAGGAGCCGCTCACCAATCCGGAGTCGGGCTTTGTCACCCGGGCGGTCGGCGGGCCGCGGCCGGTGCCTGCCGTACTCGACGCACAGCGACTCTTGGAACACTTCCGCCTCCTCCATCCCACCATGCTGCCATCCGCTCTCGCCGTTTGCTCTGGAACGACACAAACCACGCACAGTTGCTCGACGCACGCGCCTTCAGAACAGCCGTGGGCCCAGGAAGCCTCTTGGAGTTCGCAAGTCGTGCCTATGTCGACGGATGGCGAGTGGGTTTTTTTCACGCTGGCCCCTGGGCGCTGCCTCTTACTGGAACCAGCCTCGACAGCTAGGATTCCATCTCTTCCACGCTTTCGTCAAGCCGTGCACTCTGCTTCCCACCTATCGCCAGAGGCCTCTTCTGAGCTCCGTGGTCGCTTTGAAGTCCCAAGAGGACGCGAAGAAGTTGAAGGACTACCCAGGTGCGTTTTTTCCACCCTCGATCCAGAGTTTACATTGGCTCAATTGCCTCCTACCGTTCCCCGAACACGCTAAAGATTCGCCCAACTCCCTGTTTAGGACATACGGAGACGGGCGAGACCTACCGAGCACGTCGCAACAAGTTCGTGCGTCGCAGATCGTGCCGCGCATGCCATATGAAGTCCCCCATTGTGCCCTCGGCATATGTCTCTTCCTTTCCCGATTCCCGCGTCTCAACCCGAAACTTTGTCCACGGACCAGGCGACGCTCTTAGATATCGCCTACTCCACGCCTCTCTTCATCGCCCCGACCGGATACCAAGGCATCATGCGTGCCGACGCTGAGTATGTGACAGCGCGCGCCGCGGGTGTCCTCGACATCTCACTCATCCGCGGCAGCGCCATCTTGCGCTCGCTCGAGAAAGGCGAAGAGGCGAGCGACCCCAGCGCACCTCGTTAGCTTCAGCTAAGCTGGTACGTCGTTATATAACTCGAATTGCGCATATACCCATTTCGCATGACCGCAGCCCGCTCAAGTTACTCTCCCTCTCTTGCGTGAAGACCTCTGTTTGCACTGCGCTCTTCGTCACTGTCGACATCATGGCCATCGAAGGACGTTACCTCAACCTCGACTGCGGCTTCCTCTCCTCCGCGCACGGACTCGGGATCCGGATCGCGCTCTCAGACCCGAAGTTCGTGTGGCTCCATGGCGCCATGGCAGGGCTGCACCACACACCGACGAAAGCGAAGTCCCGGCGTTCCCGTACGACCCCACCGAAATCGACACCCCATCATGTCTGGCGACGCGCACATCGAGGAGACGACGCGGCTTGCTGCGGCATGGGGGAGCGAGGCGGTGAATGGACGACTTAGGAAGACGTGCGCTTCGCGCGCAAGCACTGGGAGGGGCTTTCGGTGATGAAGGGAGTCTTGACTCTTGAGTCCCGAGGTGCGTGTTCATTCTGTCTACGTCTCGCGCATACACCCACCCTCCTCGTCCAGGATGCAGAGCTCGCGATCGACGCGCATCGACGTCTCGAACCACGGTGCGTCCTTCGCCCCTCTCGCGCGCATCACGACCGACGTGTCCTCCCAGGCGGCCGCCAGATTGACGGCTCGACCCCTCCATCCACGCGCTCGGGCGCATCACGCAGTCCCCCAAAGGCAAGGCAGCGCAGCTGTCGACCAAGTTCGCCGTCCCAATGGACGGCGGCATCCGCTCCGGCGCGGACATGCTCCTCGCGATCACCCTCAGGGCTCAGGTCGTTTTACGTGAGTCCCATTTCCCTTCCGTCTTCCGTCTTAGTGAGTGCTGAGGACGGCTCCCCCGTGCCGCAGTCGGTAGGTCGGACGCGTACGGGCTCGCGATCGCCGGGCGGGAGGGCATTGAGGCGACGATCCTCGCCGAGTTCTAGCCCTCGCTCGGGCTCGTGGGGCAGAATTCTGTCGGGGATATCTGCGGGAAGGCGGGCGATGTGACCATTAAGGTTGGTTAGGCATACGGGCCCCTTTCTTCCCAGCAGCGTCGCTAATTAAATGTGAGTACAGGCTCTGCGTTCTGAGGGTGCTGGGAGCGAACGTGGCGCCGAGCGTTCCGCGTCTTTCAAGCCCTCGCTCGAGCGTGCGGGACATCAGGCCGTCGCGGATACACGTGCCCCGGCGTGGAAGGTCACTATCAAGCTCGGTTACTCTGTGCCAGAAGAGCAACGTGGCTTGCGTACGAGGGTACATCCGGCGATATGTACCTTACGAGTGTCCGATCACTGTCGCAACGTCCTCCGCACTCTGCCTCGCCGGCTCATCCGCCGCCTCCGCTCCGTAGACCTGTCTGGTTCCGTCCCTCCGCCCCTAGAACACCCGGAATGTAACCTCGAGCGTGTGGCCGTCGTGAGGGGCGAGAGTGCTCGGTGCGAACGTCGCCTCCACCGTCTTCCCCGCCATTTCCTGCTGAAGCGTCTTCGGCCACGACCCGTCCATCTCGATGTGGTGGTGATTGTCGCGCCCCTGAGTGGATCCCGAGCTTGATTCCAAGTCAAACAAAGAAGCGTAATGCGTCTGTGGGGTCGTCGACCGATTTCCGACGGGGTAGGGGGTGGGTGAAGCGGAACTGTGGTTGTGGCAAGTGCCTAACTGGATGCACAGAACGCGGTGGTCGGGAGGGGCGACGAAGTACAGCACGATCTCGATATCGCGAAACGGCTGCGGGACACTGTGCCCTAAGCGATTCTCCGGGGTGACGGAAAGAGCGCGGTAATCATAGTACCTGAACGGACTCAGAGCCTGTAGGAGACCTGCGAAGGAGAGGTGGAAGGGGGCGCTTGACGAGGATAGCTGTTCGGCGCAGAAGCGCTGCAGCTTGAAAAGTCCATGGTCCCCGGAGTTGAGACTGCGACTGAGTAGAGGACGCGAACTCCGTAGTTGAATACATATTTCGGCCATTTTCCATTCAAGATCGGCCGGAAGAGGTTCGACAACAGACATGATTGGGCCAATGCGAGAATACAATCCCTGTGACTTCAAGGCTTGAATCAGCAAGTAGCATGGAACGTGGGAGTGGGAATTATTGTAGTTGGTGCTTCGACTGTAGAAGAGATCGACAAGCAAGGTGTTACTTCGTTCCGGTGGTACCTTCAACACCGGCGCCGAAAGCATCAATCCATCAGGGGTTAGGTTGAATTTTGGGTAGCATAGGGCATCCTGCAATGAAATCGTCAAGGATCGTCCTGCGGAAATATAGAGAGATACGCACCGTTTCTTCGCGCTTGCGGAAGCCCAACTCTGTGTTCTCATGTACAGCATTGCCCTCGTATCCCTTAGGCGATTGTGGAAGAAGTTCTTTGCGAATGCATTCAATGTTATACATCAAACTCTGTTGCTTTATTTCTCTCCAGCTGGAGTAGATTGCGTATGGTCTGCAAAGAAAGATGGAGGCATCACGAGACGTCTTCATGATTTCTTCCAGAAGCCGATAGAATGCCTTCTCACCGCCCTCACCGTACAGGGTCGGCATGTTGATCCCGAAAATTCCGAACAGGCAGTACGCGATGTCTTCGGGCCTGGTTGTCTCCCTTCTCGACGCCCAAGACAACCGCTCGACGATGGACATGTGTTGGATGTCAGTCTCGAAGCGTAGAACGGCGGCTGGAACCCCGGTTGCTTCATACAGGAGTTGAGCAAGGTCGTGCTTGGTGCCGAGAAGTTCCCACTGCTCGGAGAAGAAGAGCACGACAGGTGACGCGAGAAGCTCCTGGAGTGTCCATCCACGGAAATGCCATTTGCTCCGCCGAAAGCTCTCTTCGTATGGAATGGATGGGACGTCGCTGAGATAGACGTAGCAGACGGCAGAATGCGAGTAGTATTGGAACATGGAATTGATGGCCTCGGACAGCTCGGCACTGCTCGTCTTATCGATACAGCAGGTGTCCACCCAGGCGAATTCGTACTCAAACTTCTCCGCCTCTTGGAGAAACGCGCGAACTTTGGGGGACAGTTTGTCGCGAGGGTTAAACCATGGGGGTGAGGAGAGGATGGTACGTGGCGGCGGAGGAAAGGCATCGAGGACGACGGGAGCGGACGATGTGGAGTGCCCCTGCTCTGACTGATCAACGACACAGTGATTGCTTCGAGAATACGGTCCGGTTAGAGACATGAGCGATTCTAGAAGCGCAGTGAGTGCACAAGTTAGACGGTACTCAGGGAGGCCGTATCTTAGCCGCACATACCGGAGTCTTGCTGACGATGCATGCTCGCTTGAGGGTCGGACCCCTTCGTACCGACTACACGCATGAGATGCTGCACTTGACGCTCGAGCTTCTGCCGCGCAGCTTTCTCCTCGGCGAGTGCGACCGAAAGGAGCTGATGGTCGATCTCGCGTGTTCGAACCTGTAGGGAAAGTTCGGAAATGCGAGCCTTGAGAGCATCCGCAGGCGTCGCTTGTTTGGCCTCTTCATTCAGCTTCTGAACCGCTTGGAAGGTGTCTTCTCTGGGGCCCCAAGTGTGCGACAAGATGGCATATCCGGGCTCTGGAACATGCTCAGGACGAGGGAAGAAAACGAGGTTGGCGCGGGCAGTTCCCAGCAGCCACATGACTATGATGCAGCAAATTTGAGACAAAGCGCGAGATGACGACGGATATCGGACTCACGAAGAGGTACAAACAGCACAAGTGGGTGCCCACTGCCCTCAGATGTCGATTTTGCCTGGATAATCGTGTCCCGGAGGTCGGCAAGGAAAAGCGTAACGCGCAATGACCAACAAAAGCGTAGTGAAGCCTCAAGGCCTCAAGGATCGAGGTAGTGGATATCGGCACAATCGCGAAGCACCCACGTACGATTTCCGCACGATCTCAGTTTGCTGTAAGAGTGACTCGAGAGTCGGCGCGAACGCGGAACCTCGCCTCAGGGTTAGGTCCACTTGTCTCCCGACAGCGTACCACCGCGCATACCCGTCACGTACCTCCGAACACCCATCTCGCTGATCTATGCTCCAGAACTGCTCTTCGCCTGCTATGACATCTTACGACGGTCAAGTGTCTCCACGCGTACTGCCCACGGGAGGCTTCCCTCGTGTTTGCACTCTCTTTGACAACCTCGCCGTCTATGCCATCTTGGCCTACATATAAATATGTGAAGCGCAAGATGCGACTATGGCGCGTTCATTGTCACCCCTCGTCATCGCGTCATCTTTGGTCGGCGAGGAGCACGCCAAGCGGTGTACGGGCTCAGTCACCGCTTTCACTGGTGAGTTCATCAGGAAAAACCCAAATCCATAATGAGACGTTACTGAGGCTTGTGAGGGCTAATGAGCCCGATTATTGCGTTATTCATAAGTATTATTTTTCGCTTACCCCTCTGCTAATGAGAGACCATTACATGGAGAAGGAAGAGTTAGTCGCAAGAGCAGGCCCTCACCAGGCACATTTAGTCTCACTCATGTCCGTAGATCACTGATTCAAGCACTGGATATCGAGTAGTAGCACTCATCATCCATGCAATATAGCGCAACCATGCACATTGATTTAGTATCGGATGCAGACAAGACCAGGATCCAGCTACAGCGACATAGATGTACATATCAACGAGCAATGGTGACGCAATATAAATGGTACTGTAGGTGCGCGCAGAGAGGGAGAAGTGCGGGGCCGAGAATGCGTGCACGGGGAGAATGTATATGAAGACGAAGAAGCCTCGTGCTAACGGGCCTCTGCGTGAGGTGGCCGGTTGCGCACGCGCGCAGATACAGAGTGCACGCCGCTCGCGTCACAGACGAGCACTTGCGCCCGTCGCCGCCGCGACCAACGTGTGCGCGCAAGAGCGGCCCTCTCAGGCCTTTCGCGCACCGTCCACCCGCCGGTCCTCTCAGGGACCACATCAAGCGCACCACACTCGACAGCGCCCCCCGTTTGCGCCTGGAGTCGCCCCCGCCCCTGCACCAGGGGCAGCAGCGGGCGAGCCGTCGACCTTGGAGACGATGAACGTCCACTCGAGCGGGACCGTCAGTACGCTGACGCTCGCATGCTGCAAGGCGCGACCGCTCGCCGAAAAGTACCCGGGGGAGAACACTGGTGCCGCTGTTGACACCACCCGCTGTCAGGACGTAGACGTGGATGGGGATGACGAGGATGTCCTGGGAGCGGACACGGCTGTGGAGCACGTGCTTACGCCAGGCCAGCGCGTATCGTGCGGGGCTCTGTGCGTACGTCAGGGCATGCACGGGGGAGAAAACAGGTCAGCAAAGCAAAGCGGACGGAGGGAAGTACGCCGCCTCACCGGTGACGAAGATGCTTGTGATCCTAGACCACATCCACTCGATGACCATGTTGAGGTTCGTCGGGCTCGTTGTGTGCGTTGTCGTCCAGGTCGTGCATTTCGTCATCCTTGTTCAAAACGGAAATTGGCGGGGGCGCAGTGTAACCATTGCGCCTCGATCTATCCATCGCGCCCTTCGATACAGAGCGAGCCCTGCCCTTCTGGGCATTTGCCGGGCACGAAACGACCGCGAGACGAAAGCGAACACACACCGTTGGTGTGCTGTCCAAATGTAACGGGGGTACGTCGCGGTGAACGGGGGCACGGGCGGGAGATTGCGAGAGAGGCACTCACAAGTCACAGATTCCTAAGAAAGACGGATGGACCGCCGCCGTCGAAGACTCCTTGATCTCGGGCGGAGGGGTGGACGTCGACAGTAGCACGAACGAGACGGGGATTAGTGGCCTAAGGGAGCCCACGGAAGCGCGGGACGTACCTGCTGGGGGCGCGCAACGGCGAAGAAAGAGCTCTGGGGCTCATTGTCGTCTTCAAGGCCGTGGAGGAAAAGAAAGAGGGCGTGACCCAGGGCGTGGCTGGTGAGGTGGGTAAGGTGGAGGTCCGAGGACTGGGCAGCGGAGAAAACCAGCGTGGGGAGTTTGACAGAGGAGGATGGAGGTGGTGGAGGAGGAGGTGGAGGCGGTGAAGGTGGCCAGCATGGAGCGGGGACGCGCGTCGCGCGTTGGGCATGGGCGCTAGTACATATGGCGACCATATCCCGTGATCGCGTCTTGCCCACATTCACCGCGCGCGCGAGTCGAGATGCTCCATCCCTCCTTGACTTCGTACCACCACCATCTCCTCCAGCGCCTACCACCTCTCCCCACCCTACCCCTGTACGATGTCGCCCTCTTCGAAGAAGGGCAAGAAGAAAGCACCTCCCCCGGCCGACGACATGGCCTGGGAGACCGACCGCGACTACCAGCGCGTCCTCCAACAGGCCCTCACGGCCTCCTCCACCATCCTCGCCGGCGGCAACCCCGACGGCGCCTGGACTGACAGTGAGGACGAACTCTTCACCGTGCGCTCCCCCCGCCGCCGCAAGAGCCGGACCCCGGCCCCCGCCCCTGCTCCTGCCCCTGCACCCCCTCCCCCCGCTGCTCCTGACGCCCCCACGGTGCGGGAGCTCCTCCTCCACATCTTCGGGATCGCGCTCAAGCTCGGCCCCCTCAACAACGACAACTTTGCGGAGGCCTCCGACCTCTTCAACAGGGCGCCTGGCCAGTCCGGCGACGCTCTCTCTCAGTTCTGGACCCAGCACACCATGCAGTGCGTGCTGGCCATGGACTACGCCAACGCCGCGGCCCACTTCCGCGACAAGGCAGCCCGCGCGGCCGCCCCCCTCCCCCTCCGGCTGCGGCCGACGCCATGGACGTCGCCCCCGTCGAGCTCCCCCCGACTGCGCCCCTCCCCGCCCCTCCCCTCCAGGCGGCGCCTCCGGCCTCCCCCCCGCCTGCCCCCGCCCTCGAGGCCGCCCCCGTGGTCGGCTTTGTGCCCCCACCTCCCACGCCTGCGGCGCCTACTGGCGTCGCGGCCCTTCCAGCCAGGCCCTTTGGGGCCCCGACCCAGCCTGCCCCCGGCCCTGCGGCCCCGGCCAGCGTCCCCGCGCCCACATGGGCAACGGTTGCACGCGCCGGCGCCAAGAGGAAGGGGAAGGGGGCGACCGGCGCGGCCCGCAAGGGTTTCGTCGCGCGCCCCGCGGCAGCCGCCGTTCCCACGGCCCCTGCCCCGCCCCCCGCCACCGCTCCCGTCGCCCCGGCCAAGGCCGCGCCGACGGCGCTCCAGAACACGCTGGCCGCGCTCCGCCGCCGCCGCCCAGCCGGGTCCGCCCGGCTGGTCTACCTCCACGCCGCTCACGACCTCACCCACGCCCCCACGTCTTCGAGCGACGCCAAGGCCCTCGAGGTCCTCCGCCGGATGGTCGACTTCAAGATCGACCGTCTCTCCTCCAACCCCGCGCGCACGCGGTGGACGATCGTGCCCGCGATCTGCCCCCGCGACGCCCCTATGACCTGGGACGCCCAGGCCACTGCCCTCGCCGACCAGCTCGGTCGTCTCCTCAGCGCGCCCACGCCCCTGCGCGCGTCGAGGTACGTCAACCGGGTCTCGGTCCTCTACCACCACGTTGAGTGCTCCGCGCTCGACGACGCCGGTGCTCCCGTCGCCCTCTCCCCCTTCGACGTCCTCCAGGACGCCGTTCACCGCTCCGGTGACACCGCGTGGTCCGACGGCCGCGCGACGCTCCCCGACACCACCACCTCCGTCCACTGGGGCCCCCACGCCGCGGACGCCACCACCGCCACCCTCTTCGTCGACGTAGTCGACGACGAAGACTTCAAGTCGCTGCGCGCCCTCAACGGGTCGCGGCTGCTCTTCGACATCGGCCCGCGCGCGTGCACCCTCGCGCGCGTGCCCGACCGCCCCCTCCAGTGCTCGAACTGCCAACAGTTCGGACACGCGGCCGTCCGATGCCGTGCGCCTCCGGCGTGCGGTTTCTGCGCCGGACCGCACCACACCCACCACCACGAGGCGCTCGCCAAGCGCCCGGGTCCCACCGTCCACGTGGCGAAGTGCGTGGTTTGCACAGGCGCGCATCCCGCCTACTCCCCCACCTGCCCCCGCCGTCGGCCGAAGAACGACGCGCGGGCATCCAACCCTCGCACGCCCAAGGAGCGCGCCCCAACGGGCGCGTGACCTGGTCCCAATCGCGAGCCCTCCCGGAACGCGAGGCGCAGTTTCCGGCGCCTGATAAGGCCGGTCCTAGCGCGAGTAGCCTGAGCGGGGGTAAGTGAGGCGGCCTAGAAGCGCACGGACTCTTTCTCGGCGGACTCTTTTCTCGGACAAACGCGCGCTCGCCACAGGGGGTGCCAGGCGCCCTCGGCCTGATGACGTCGAAGTTCCGCAACTGCCTTCGGGCGCGGTCCCGTGCCCACGCGGGCGTCAAACGAACGCGGGATACTGACCTAGCGCTGGGTCTTCGTCGCTACGGTACTTACGTAGCCACTATGTGAACCGGCGGGATGGCCTGAAAATAATAATAATAATAATAATAAAGAGTCGAGATGCTCCGTCCAGTCTGCTCTATGCAGCACCCTCTTTTTCGAGATACAATAATTGCTCAAGTTCAGGTCGTCTTCTCGCTTCCTCCACGCTCCCTGCCTCATCTTGTCCCCAGCATACCACTATTCCTCTCCATCAAGCCTCTGGCACACGCTAAGTATTGCGCACTTCGACTGCCACAAGCACCATCTAGTTTCGTCTCAGGCACCCTCTGCCCCCCCATGACTGCCGTCTCTGGTCCCTTCAAGTACTGTTTGCTATCCCTCGTTGCTCAAGAAGCGGCTACAGTTCGCTATCTGGTCCTCTGGCTCGAGCTTGCACCAACAGTGACCGTGAGTCCCCTTGTCGCCTTCATTGCTTACGCACGCGGGGCCGTAATACGTACGTTCTCCCATCTCCAGTGTCATCACCAATGCACCCCACCACTCCCTACATCGTCGCGTCTGCGTTCACCAAAAAGACGCAGCAACCACCTTCCGCTTCGCTGCCAAAACCCATCTTTCCTCCCGTTACCATCCACGTTGGCACCCCACCGCGTAGCGTGGGCTCCTCGTGTGGCTTGTACAGCACGCCGGGCATCTCCTATACCCCGGAGTCTTCCATATCGACGTCAATGTCCCCCGCGTAGAACACATCCGACCCATCGACCCCGTTCGGACGGTGACTCTCTACTACCAGATGCTGGGCGCAAAGAACGGGTCATCGACTCGCGGGCGCGCCTGGCCCCTGGGTGGGTGCGAGTTTCTAACGCTCCACGACAGCTGCTGAACATCAAATTGTCAATGCGCTCATGTGCAGCGTCTGTGGCGAGTGTGACAGCTGCTTCCCCCTCGAGCCGATCGCCGCCAGTGCTTCAGCCTACACCCTGCTCACCCCGCGCGTGGTCATCCCTGACTGCGCGACGTACGTCCCGCACGTGTCCTCGCATGATGACCTGTCCCCGACCTCCACGCGCAGTATGGCAACCGCGCGATGCTCCCACTGAGCATTTTCGCACCAACGGTATACGCCCGGCACACACCGCACACGCAGTGATCACTATGCCCGACTCGCTGAGTCACGCGCCGTTGGATCCACACCGACAGGTCTCCTCGTCGGGCTGCAATGCCCCTGTCTCGTTACCCACTGCACCCAGCCCGCGATTGCATTTGTCGCACAAGGCAAGGTTGTCGCAGTATTTAGACCATGAAGCAATAACAGTTTTCTGTACGATCCATTTATGCGTGCTGATGTGTGAGCAGTGGGGGATTATCGTATACTGGTCAGGATCCAGTCGAAAGTACCATTACTGGCTAACTACATGTACAGATATCCACTACACACACTCAAACACTCTAAATTATACCTTATTCACTCCATAAGCGACCAGAAGGAAGGCGATAGTGTCCGTAAACTGCGGTGAGTTGGAACAGCTGCAGTATGTTGGTGTATATCGGCTTACCACTATATTACCTCTCAATAGGAATTTGGGTTTTTCCTGATGTTGTTCCTCCCTCCATTCCCACCAACATGTTCAGCTACGCAAGTCTCGCCAACGTCTCTCGGTCGTGACTGCGATCCTCGGCGCTCACTCATCCTGTGGAGGTCAGGGCTGCCAGGGCGTACAAACTTCGACGCGTAGTCGCGTCGTGCTCTGGCCGGGAAGACCTGCGTTGCCTCTGCGTGTGCCAGAGATAACAGCTCGCGAGATTTTGCAGTGAGCCCCCAAACTCAACGAGTTCATCAACTGTATGCGCTGCACTTCCGAGCGAGCCGAAAGAAGTTGCACCGGACAGGGGAGGTGCTGGATCACCGGGCATATGGTGCGTTGTTTCTACCCTCGGGTCTTCGAACCCTTTCTCATCGCGCATGCAGGTGGAGGCCTCGAGGGGCGTCGCGGAGGGCGTCGCTCCGCGTTCAGAGCATGGCGCGGGTCATGCACCGAGGACGCTCATCGACCTGCGCTCCACCGTCCACTCCATCGATCTATACCAGACACTATCGCTGTCGTCCCCGACCCCACCGTCTACTTTGCCGACACCCCGGAAATGCGCGACGACATCGTCATTGACTTGGAAGAGCATTACGAAGCGTAAATCGCGCTGTAGGGATGTCCTCGAGCTCAGAGAACGAGTCGTTCGCGCGCATCGTCGGCACCATCAAGCTCGCGTCCAGCGGACGCCGTCCCGCCTTTTGCTTCACCGCACTTCCTTGTCCCTTGAAGACCGCATGCTACTCCTTCTACCTCCCCGTTGTGCTCGTCATGCGCCTTTGCGGCATCCCCCACTCCGGCTTCTCTGGTTACCCTTCCGCGCTCGCTGAGTCCATCCCGGCCCTCTGGGCGAGTACTTCCAGGTCCTGGACTACTTCCTTGGCCACGCCGCGCCGCCCGAGGTCCTCTGCAAGATCAAGAAGGACGCCGTCGACAGGAGATGCTCCTAGTGTGCCAACGCCGCGGTCGCGCTTGCGAACTTGAGTCGGCACGCCGTCCCCGATACCAAGTACGGCCACAAAGACCCCGCGACGGAGGCACGCGTTGAGGCGCGCTACATCAGCAAAAGGTGTTTTTCACGGTAGCGCCCGATAGCACGCGACACTGCCATATCGGGACAGGTCGTCTATTGTCCGCGCGACAAATGATGGCAGTAGAACGGTAGCAGCTGATATTCATTCGGCTTTGATATGACATTTGATCACATTCCGTGGCCGCATACAGGATATGATGGATCTACTACAGGCACTAGTAGTTTAGACAAAAAGCTGTAGTCGATGATATGTTGATGATAGTAGATGATCATGCGCTCCTCCAAGGGTGATCCATGGCGCGCGCGGGGTGCATGAGAAGTCTGCATTGAGCTATACGGTTGGTTCGTGAGCGCGCGAATGGTGCGCGCGGCAGAGAACGCGGTGCCCGTGAGCCTCGAGGATATAAGTATACGGCCTCACCGAGTCACCGCGCAGCCACTCCACCAACTCTGGCTTCCTAGCGCAAATACAGTCCTGCAAACATGTTGGAACTTGGGGCGCTGCCGGCAGTGGTCGGGTGCAAGTCGTGCACGACCTTGCCCGTCAAGCGACGCCGAGCCTAGTTCGGCCCAGCTGCCAGTGAACTCCCAATAAGTAATGTTCTGCTCCCGGGCCCCATCCTCCTCGATATCCAATGATTCGACAAGCTATGACCTCTGCAGCTTGAAGCTCTACCAATGCGACTGGGAAGAGGTCTTGAGATAAGGCCGTTTACGTTAGGCGATGGAAGATTGACGTTGAAAGCGATCTCACTCTCGAGAGCTGGCTGGGAAGCGTCAGATCTGGCGCATTGTTTGCAGATGGCACCATGAGTTGATTGCGGGTGAGGCGATGATGATCAAGACGCTCGGGCAGCAGGGCCCAGTGCACCTCCGAAGAGCGGCCGCCGGGTAGGTCAAGTACACGGTTCTCGTCAGCGTGGAGAATGACCCTGAGACGTAGGATTTCCTGCTGATAGTCACGGAGGCGCCGCAGTGGCGTCCTGCTTTGGCCTCCCTATTGTTTCCAGACACGGGCGCGTGTGCTGGGTTGCGCGCCTACTGGGCTTTATCCGCGACCACCATCATCCCCCAAGCACGATGTGCCACTCACACTCGCGCGCGATGTATCAAGACACGGTGAGTTCTTCCTCATTCCCCGCTCTCAGCATCTCGCTCACGTACACACTTGTGTTGACACATGGCTTTGAACACCTCACCCACACCGGCGAAAGCCCACACCCTCAAGACTGCGGGTACAAAGATACGCTTGAGTACGTCGCCCATGGCCACGGGTCGGTCACTTGTGAGGCCTGATTCCTCAGCCTTGCCGACAGTTTCAATGTGGCGCCGCGCGCTCCCATGCAAGCCAGCGACCCAACACCATTCACTTGCCACCGGGGATTCAAGGCGATGTGGAGGTGCGGCAGCCACCGGCTCCGTGGGAGCATGGTGTACAGGTATGTCTTCAGAACGTCCGCACCTGTGGTCACCAAGATTGTAAAACAATACCCCAGGTTCGTGGTGGAAGCGTTGCGTGATTCGTGGCCACCTTGTAAAATCAAACAATGCGGCCAGGCTGTTGTTATACTTCAGAAGTGTCTGGAGTATTACAGAGTGTCTGGTTCTTGTTAAAAACATCAGAGAAGTATTACAAGGCTTCAGGCTTCTGTAATATGTTGCAAAGGTAATACAGCGCGTCGGGGCATTGTCAGAAGGGTCGGTGAGTACTACAGCGCGTCGGGGGATTGTCAGAAGGGTAGGGGAGTACTACAGCGCGTCGGGGGATTGTCAGAAACGTCTCCGGGTAATACAGCGCGTCGGGGGATTGTTAGAAGCGTCGGGGAGTAATACAGCGCGTCGGGCCATTGTCAGAAGCGTCGGGGAGTACTACAGCGGGTCGGGACATTGTCAGAAAGGTCGGAGAGTACTACAGCGCGTCGGGGGATTGTCAGAAACGTCTCCGGGTATTACAGCGCGTCGAGGGATTGTCAATGACGTCTGCAGGTATTACAGCACGTCGGGGGATTGTTAGAAGCGTCGGGGAGTACTACAGCGCGTCGGGCCATTGTCAGAAGGGTAGGGGAGTACTACAGCGCGTTGGGGGATTGTCAGAAGGGTCGGTGAGTACTACAGCGCGTCGGGGGATTGTCAATGACGTCTGCAGGTATTACAGCGCGTCGGGGTATTGTCAGAAACGTCTCCAGGTATTACAGCACGTCGGCGGATTGTCAATGACGTTTCCACGTATTACAGCGCGTCGGGGCATTCTCAATGACGTCTCCAGGTATTACAGCGCGTCGGAGTATTGTCAGAAACTTCGGAGAGTACTACAACCCGTCGGGGCATTGTCAATGAGGTTTCCACGTATTACGGCGTGTCGGGGGATTGTTAGAAGCGTCGGGGCGTGTTAAAGCATGCCAACCATCACACGGCTTGCATTAATAATGACTTCATACGAGTAACGTAGTTCAACCGAGCGGTGGGGTTACGTACGTACGATTACGCCAACATTCTACGTTTGAGTGTCACCTGAAATGCCCATGTTGTGCTTCTTGCGTAACGGACTTTCAGTGTCATCGTCGCCATTGTTCTTGCGCTTTGCTGGGGTACTGATGCCGTCAGTTGATAGCACGATTTCAGATGCAGGAGCTCCGGGCGGCGTTGTAGTAGGTGTGTCCTTTTGACCTGCAAGCATGGACGCACCGGGGGACGTTATCCCCAGTAGCGCGTGTGTCATCGCCGCTACACCGAGCTGGGATGCGTCGGGGCGCGGGATCCCGGGTGTTGCCGTTGCCCCGGCGGGCCCGGACGCGTCAGGGAGCAGGCTCGCGGATGTGGAAGCCCCAAGAGGCATTGTAGTGGGTGTCGCCTTCGTACCGGGGGGTTGGGATGCATCGGGGGGAGAGATCGAAGTCGTTGCGGGCATCGTCGTCGTCCCACCGAGCTGGGATGCGTCGGGGCGCGGGATCCCGGGCGTTGCCGTTGCTCCAGCGGGCCCGGACGCGTCAGGGAGCAGGCTCGCGGATGTGGAAGCCCCAAGAGGCATTGTAGTGGGTGTCGCCTTCGTACCGGGGGGTTGGGATGCATCGGGGGGAGAGATCGAAGTCGTTGCGGGCATCGTCGTCGTCCCACCGAGCTGGGATGCGTCGGGGCGCGGGATCCCGGGTGTTGCCGTTGCCCCGGCGGGCCCGGACGCGTCAGGGAGCAGGCTCGCGGATGTGGAAGCTCCAAGAGGCATTGTAGTGGGTGTCGCCTTCGTACCGGGGGTCTGGGATGTGTCGGTGGACGTGATCGCGGGGGTAGGCGGTGCCAATTGTTTCAGAGTCCATGATACATCGTCTGCTACCTCTTGAAGGGCCAGAGCCTCTCCGCCATGGGCCAGCCACCACGAAAGGCACATGATGGCTATGAAGAGCCCATTGCTGCCGCCAAGGAGCAGATCCTCCCAGTCCGAGTCTGAGTCGACAGTGCGAGGAAGAGGCCAGGTGAAATCTTCGGCACAACGGAAGTCGGGTTGAAGACGGCACCACCAGCGTTTCGCTGCAGTAGCGAAAAGGGTGATGTTCTTGATCTCGGGAGGACGGCCGTACTGTCGCCCACCCTTGATCCATTGCTTCACCTCGTCAGGGCGGTTCTTGGTCGGCAAGCGCTTCCTGCTTGAAGACTAACGTGAGATGAGTGGCAAGTACGCCACTAGAAGAACAGATACTCACTTGATTCCCCGACGTCAACATCACATGCTCAAACCTCTTCCAGAGCTCCAGTAAGTCCTTCCACCATTGCGCGTCGCTTACACCTTCTAGGTAGGCTTGGGCTTCAACCATCCATTGAGGAGTTGTGGCTTCGCTATCGATTGCCGCCTTCGCTTCATCTAGTGTCTTGCCATGATTGAGCTGTTCCAGCACGGCACGGTTTCGGGCGATGTTGGCATAGCGTTGCGCATCGTACGACAGTGAAGACGCTGGAGAGTGCTGGACAGGCGGAGAAGACGGCGGAGAGCCTTCAGGGGAGAGAGGAGCAGGAGCAGGAGCAGGAGCAGGAGGGCTGGGGTCTGAAGACGTAGACGTTGGTGGATGAGACGAGGAACCGGGTGCCTGGGGACCGTGAGTGCCTTCGGCATCTGCCGGTACTGTGTCAGGCTCGTCACTCGCTTTGCTGTGGTAGATCGCGGAGAGCTGCTGAGGTAGAAGGGGATCTGGAGGCTAAGGTGAGTTCCAATAACACTCTCAAGGGTTGACTTGACTCACCGAAGCATTTGGCGATGAAGCTCTCGAAGGAATGTTGAACCGTGGGCCATTCCTCAGACGACTGGGACCAAAGGTTTCCATGCGTGAGTGTTTCCCCATTCATGATCCTGCATTTTGTGTTAATACGTGCAGCGCCGAAAAAAAATCCTCAACTCACGAGAGGGTCAGAAGATCACCGGTTTCCGGGGACGGCCCTCCTAGCATGAACGCACCCTTGTACCCGGTCTGCTCCTCTATCGCCTTCAGCACATCCAGAGCAACACGTCCGAGGTCTCCGATGACGCTGCACGAATGGTCGTCAGATGAGAGACTGAAAAGCGACAATGTGGTGGTACGTACTGCTGCAATGTAACCACTTTCTCTCGCACTGTCTCCTTCTCGCCGGTCATGAGCTCCTCGAACACCAGCGGCGTCGGAAGGCGCTCCATGTAGTGCGTGTTTCGGTACTCTTCAACTTGACGCTTGACTGAATCCGACTCCAGGTCCAGAAGACGTTCGCATTCTTTGTTCTTGAACGGCCACATGTCGAGGGGTTTGCCAGCGTCGGCACTGAATGCGATAGTGGGATGTTCACCGCGAAGGTAAGATGCGTAGCTGTCCTGGATCTTCTGCTTCAGCTCGTTCTTGAATAGGTGCATATAGGCCTGATGGGGTCTGAGTATCTGAGGCTTCCGACGCTGCAAGTCGAGAAGCGGTGTGGGTTTCCGACCGCTACTCATCGTTTCGCGGCCATTTCCGTGACCTCGGCCGCGGCCGCGACCACCACGGCGCGGTTTATTCCCCCTGTTGCGGTTATAAAAGAGGCACTCTATTTGCTGTCGATGAATGGTGAGTTGGGGAAGTGCATGACAGTGACTCATCACTCACGTTACCTAGCACGAGCCGTTTGTTTTCCTGGGCCTTCTCAACGCTACCGTTCGCCTCGTTGACTTCTTCTTCAGTCGGCGGCGCAATCGGCCATTTTTCGGTAAAGGCCTCGAGCGTAGAACTGAAGAAGACCCGGACGTCTCCACCTGCCTGTGCGTTCAGAAAGGCTGCATTGCGGTCACCGAACCACACCTCTTGGTCGTTGGTGGTCCACCTCGGGCGTCCCATATGAGCAAGTTCACGGAAGTCAATGAGGGAAGAAGTACGCCTGGGACAAGAGGATCAGGTGAGGTGGGCGAGGAGGGGGCTTGATCCACGCGGCATGGCCTGGCGGCGCTGATATAGAGCCTCAGCCTACCCGATGAACGAACGCTCGCGCGCATGCCGTCACAGAAGCGACGAGGTGGATATTTAGTCCCTTGAGTCAGCTCAGTCCCACGTCAGCGTGTTTCTCTTTCCCCCCACCATCGCTGCGTCTCATCCTCTTCAACTGCCATGCATATTTCGTCTCCCCCCGACCCTCCTGAACGCCTCAATGGCTCTTCGCGCAGAGGAGCCTCCCAGGGTGAGTATTTGCAGCACGAGTGTGATCTGCATACTAAATCCGAAGTAGGCGGCTCTCACTCCCGAAACAATCAAACCCACAGCCGCGCTGCCCACACCGACGACCTCCCCGACCTCGCCGCCCTATCCTTGGGCGACCCGCCGAGCCCAGCCGTTCCCGCCCAGCGAGAGGCAGATCGACCCACTCCCCCAGCTCAAGTCCGTATAACTGTCTCTCCAGGGGCAGTTGTCAACGTCTACACCCGGGCGGGCACTGAAGGCCAACAGCGCGCCACGGTTACCCCGCTTACCTCGCTGGGGCGTCGTGTCATCAGTGGACCATTCTCCCAAGTCCCCACGGCTCAGTTGGGCGGCTCACTATCCATCCCGGCGTCCCCCATCCGTCGCCGCGCGCAGGGCGGTACATCCCCCGCTCCCAGCCGTTCCCCGGTGCTTTCCTCCCCTGCCCGTGGCCGGGTCCCAGCCCTTGGATCCCCCGCTCGTGGTCTCACTCCAGCTCCCTCCGCCCACATCCGTACCCCAGTCTCTCCTGGGCCTATCCTGAACTCCGGCTCATCGCGCACCCTCGCGGGCGCATCTGCTCGGCTGCGCTCGACGCCCCTTCCCTCGCCTCTTCTCGGCCTGTCCCAGATCCAGCCTGAGGTCAACGCGCCCCGTTGGGGCTCTCCGCTGCCGTCAGTGGCTGCCCATCCGATCATAATTGATCGTCAGTCTGGTATGCGAGTTCCTTATGTGCACGACGTTTTGGATTGTGACTGATGAATTCTACGTATAGACAACAACAACAGGTTCTATGACGTCGACCATAGCGAGGGCGAATACGAGAATAGTGTCTCCGATATAAACGCCTTTGACAACTTTGGAGATGTCCCCCAGCCGGCCGACGAGTTCATAGCACCCCCGGACATGTTCAACAATAGCTGGTACGTCGTCACGGTCGGGCGGCGCGTTGGGGTTTTCGATTCATGGGAAGAGTGCAATGACGCTACGAACGGTGTCCCCCACAACTGTCACAAGAAGTACACGAGTCGGAGGGAGGCTGTTGCTCGCTATTTCAACGCCCGCGAGGCTGGACGAGTTAACGTAGTATCTACCGATTAGTCCTCTAAATGCACGAGTTAGTAGATGTGCAATGAACAATCTTGGCTTGTTCCCTTTTACGACTTGAGGGAGCTCGTGTGATGCATTGATATGTGGGCTACACGACGACTATTGCTGTGACGCTGTAACTCAACTTCGGAGTAGCTGGTACACATCAATGTCCAGTCTTGCGTCAGTTTTCGCGTCGCGAGAACTTTGCTCGGAGCGTGGTGCGTACAGTCGGTGGGCGGTACGTTCGCGGAGGGAAATGTGCGGCGTAGCCTGCTGTCCGTGGTGTGACTCGGAATCCCAAACCAACATTTAATCTAGCGCGAGCAGAGTCCAGCGCCACTGCCGTGGCTGGCGTACCCTGCTTCAGTTCGAACAGCCATGTGGAACAACATATACGAGTATCAGTGCCGTATTTTAATAGCCTAAATATCTCTGCGAAGTTCCACAGGCTACGTAGATGTTCGGAGCTGCGAAAAGGCCTGTGCGAGAGCAAAATCCGAGGATCCCGGAGTGAAACGCACACTGATAGTTGTGGCAGCACTGCGCCTGACCGGTGCTCCTCAGTCGCATTTCATCCTCTCATACTATTCAGGCTCCTATACACCTCTGCTCATTCCCTTTCTTATCGATATCCCTGCGCCCTGAGGTATCATATAAATGGCTGGAGGCCGAAAACGGGAAGGGGAGTCATCAAACTCGACTCGACAACCAAAGCGACAACGAAATCAAGTTCAACGTCGACACGTCAATCCTCTCCCCTCCCCTGCACTTTCTATCACCCCAGATACCACAGAAACAATACCTAGTGTCATTCAGCAGACCCGATCGGTTCATGTTTACTCGCTGCCAGACGGAAGGGTCGCAATGCGCCAAGAGGGCCAGAATAATGTACCGGTACCCGTTCTGCCCACCACATCTGAGTCGTCAGCGACGGGCGAGATTCTCGATCTCTATCAAGAAAGCCACACTGGTATTGATTCCGTCGACTCTACAGCTATGCAGAAGTCTAAAAGGAGCAAGAGGACGGAACATAGGGCAGCAGTACGTTCCGATTACATATCTCACACCAAACATTTTGCCGAGGCTGAGTTCATATCACGGTCTCAGCGTAAAATTGAGGAATGGCTTCCTCTTCGGCAGGACTTCCTCGACGAGCTCCTGCGTTACGAAGGATCCGAACACATACATTCCAGCGTGTGCCGCACCTGCAAGCGGCCCGGCGCAACGTTCCGGTGTAGCCAATGTCACTCGCGTCGTCTGTATTGTCAGGTGTGCGCAATCGATCGACACACAGACATCCCACTTCACATTCTTGAGGCACGTTGTTTGCGACGTATTCTATGCTACGGAATTATTGCTTACTATGGGCTTGACAGCGCTGGGACGGTTCCAAGTTCATCAAAGTCGGGTTACGCGAACTTGGTGTTGTGCTCCAACTCGGGCACGATGGCGACTCGTGTCCATGCCCATCTCCGACTACACGACGTCTGGTAGTGGTCAATACCGATGGTATGCATAAAGTGGAAGTGCGCTTCTGTCAGTGCCTCCGTCATGACAGCACTTTCATGCCCGAATGGGTTCAAATCTTTCGCCAAGGATGGTTTCCGGCGACGACATCCAAGCCAGCTACCGCAGCAACTTTCCACATTCTCAACTTCTTCCACGAGCTAAACTTTCAAGCCAAAACAAATCTAAACGATTTCGAGCAGACACTACAGCGCATCACAGACAATTCAGGCTATGCAGCCAATTTGGTGAGTAAGCACCTCTGGTGCTCGAGACCCACGTACGCTTATCCAGCGCCGGCTGTAGGTCCGTTACCGGCAAATGTCGCATTGTGTCCGATTATGGCGCCATCTCGTAGCTCTCAAGCGCGCGGGACGCGGACACGATCCGGCTGGAGCCGCGAATACGCAACCAGGGGAGCTCGCTGTTGAATGCCCAGCCTGTCCGCACCCGGGAAAGAACCTGCCTCCCGATTGGGACGCGGAGACGAACATCAACAGGTGAGTCATATGCAGCACTGTATGTCATTCTTGCTGATTATGCTGCGTTTCGTAAGATGGCTATACACGCTTTTCCTGATGATGGATGGCAATTTCCGTGCAAAGCTCAAAGACCGCGGACTAGACAGTATCACACTCTCCCAGGGCTGGTCGTATTTTGTAGAGACAAACAGTTTCACGAGGTTCATCAACTCTGTCGGGGAGCAAGCAGAGGTCAGTTTGTGCTTGATTTACCTGCTGGGAAGTATCTCTCACGAGTCCCATTTAGAAAAGCAGCTGCACGGCCGAACACAAGGCTATTCTTAATGCGAACATTCATCGGGAGGGCTACATCACATCCGGTGTCGGTGCAATCCTGTGCGCGCGTCATGCCCTATGCCGAAAAAGCGGGATGGGAGACATATTCTTGGGAGAGAAGTGAGTACATTTCTTCGTTTTGTGTGTGTAGGAGAGGCAACCATGACATTCAACAGATATGCAATCTTCGACTACCTCCTCGGTTCGACTACGACCGGATTGCCACCCTCCTCCCTTCTGATATCGTATGATCTCGCGTGCCAGTGGCACAAGCGTCTCCCCCAGAGGGCGATGGATCTCCCGGAGGAGCTCAGCAACGCGATTGCGAATCTCAACCTACGCTTCGCAATCCCCAAGAAGCACTGGCACGTTCATGGTCCGAACCACGCGCAGTGGTCACTGAATTTCCTGGCGCTTGTTGGGCGGACTTACGGTGAGGGCATTGAATCGCATTGGAGCCATCTGAATCCAGTTCACACAAGCACCCGCGAGATGGAGCCCGGCGGTCGGCACGAGGTCGTTGACGACCACGAGGGCGCTTGGAATTGGCAAAAGATCTTGGCGATGGGTGAGTATTTCCAAAATGTCTCGGAGACTTCACAGTCCAGCTGACGACGACGACACAGCCAGCTTCTTTCTCAAGGGGCTACGCACCGCAGATCAATGGAGCAAGCGACAAAATCAAGTGCACGACGACTTTACCGCAAATCTTCCTCCTCTCTCTAAGAACGCCGTTCCGAAGTGGGAAGCCGAACTTACAGCGTGGCAGAATGCGCCCGGATCTGTGCCGGACCCGTACGAGGAGCCTCGGGCCAGTGAGTCATCATATAATCAAATCGGAGTCAGCCTCCGCCGCTGACAACACTGATATTGGTAGCTGTAAGCCTGAAGGCTGTTCGTCTAGAGATTGCCGAACAGGAAGCCATTGAGATGCAAGCCGGAATCTTGCCTCCGCACGAGGTTTCGCCTGGGGTCTTCCTGCAGGTTGGGCTCGACTTGGAGGAGCAGCAGTAAGTCAATAAATGTTGGTCACAGTATGAAGATACTGAGACTGTGACAGGCGTGCTTTAAGAGCCATGCAGGCCAAGATGTCAACTGGAGAGAGCTCTCAGGCGGCCGTACAAGAGAAGCGGAACACGCTTAAACGGCGTATTGATGCGTGGCAGATATTACAACATGTTCACATGCCGGTCATCGTGAATCTCCGTGGGGCAGCGCACTTGCGCCCGTCTGGGTCACCCGCAGTTGCCTCATCGGCCGACGCATCAGCTTTGCCCCCATCCATACCCACTGCCATCTCCATGTCAAACCCGCTCTCAACGTCCGCGATGTCCACAACCGTTGCGGCCACAACTTCGACAGCGATTCCCGCCATGCGCTCTACCACTTATGCCTTGGACGGAACCGCACCCATCCCTGGGAGAAACACTCAGCCCTCCAACATGACCACCATTCCGCACGCTCCTGTCCCACCGTCCATGGTAGCACCAGCACTGGAAACTCCTAGAGGGAGCACCACCGAGAACACCCCGGCCGAAGACATCGATCTCCTCCTTCCCTCTGCATCAGGAAAAAGCGCCGTGCGCCAGAGCCCCGGCCCGGACTCGGCATCACTCCCTTGCCGCCAATGATGACCGGGAGGGCGCTTGAGCGCCCTCGCGCGATGACTAATGATGCCGAGGTCTCTCGAGTAGCGCAAGCGTGCTCTGGAGCTCTCCAGAGTAGCAGTGACTGCTAACGACGTCTTGAGAGCCACGGCCAGGATCACTCGAGGTCTCTCGTGCTGCAGTGGTGGCATGAGAGTCCTCGATATCATCCTCCGATACAAGCGGTAACGCGTGAGTATAGCACACGAAACTCGTATATACGCTCTCGTATGCTTTCCCGCACCGGCGTGATACAACGCGGGATTTCTGGTAGTTATATTAACGAGAAATAAAACCGGTGACTAGTACAGCCGCTCAGACCGTGCCAGTTGCGTGGTTTTTAGCGACACTCACTTGAAGTGGTTGCGCGGGCGGCAGGGGAAGGCCGAGTCCTGGCTGTAGCCGTGAGAAAGACGAACGCAGTCGAGCGCACACATCTTGCGAGTGGCCAAGGGGGCAACAAAACTGGGTTGCTGCCACTGGAGACCAATAAAATGTTGGCGAGTTTCGCAGCCAGTACTTACATATATAGGGAAGAGAATCAAACGGTCAGGGACTTGAGTGCTTGAACACAAGTCCGCCAGAACAGGTTGTGGAAGGTTGTTCCCACGCACAGACCTCTGGGCGGCACCGCCCACTGCCAGCAGCGCGGCTCTCGGTCGTCTTCAATTCTTTCCTCCTCGCTGTCTCTACCCGTCTCTCCTCCCGATGTTGTCATGTAAGTGCAACGAGGGCTCGCGCGCCCTGCCTGCTAACCAAACTCCTTAAGAACAGGACACGGAAGGACGACGGCTTACCCTCCCCGCTATGAACAGAAAGACGCGTCAGCACCCGCGTCGTGTTGAGTCTTGACGCCATCTCGGTATGTAACGTACGCCATACATTGACGTCGTCGCCTCCCGCCAGAGCCCTACCTCGCGCAGTCCGTCTCCATCCCTCGCAGCCCTCTCTCCCTTGTCCCTTCCATCAGCACCCCATCTCTCGTGCCTACCCTTCTACACGCACCATATCCTCCACGACCTCCAGAACATCGTTCAGCAACGCATCACGATTCACAGGTCAGTACACTGCGTCCACCGCGGAGGCCTTTGATTCGTTCATCTGCCAGAACGCCTGCATCATCGTCAGTGGCAAGAAGCATCGCGTACCAAAAGCCCCTACTCGCGAGGCCAACGGTGGCCTGGGCTCGATGGTCATATTTGGCGACATTGTGGTAGTACCCGCGGACCCGGAGGGCAAGGTGCGTAGCCGTCCACGTCACGCCCCGCACCTCGTCTCAGGATCAGTGCTAACTGTGGCTTCTTGGCAGCCCCGTCAGCACGTTCTTCAAGGTGAACCTCGTCGGGCGCATCGCCGTCCTCGGCTCACACGAGTCCAAGACCGTCACCTCGTCCTTTGGTACGTCCTGTCTCACCACTCTACGTGAGTGTTTGCTGATATTACGCACACAGTTTACCCCACCGTTCCGTTCGTATTGCGCTCTTGAGCCGGATGAAGACAGGGCGGTCTCGGGTCAATCGTCGCCTCGCGGTGGGCCGGAGAAGTAGGAGTGGGGCATGGGATGGAAGATTGTGCAGTGTATCGTGCCCATCAAGGTAAGTTTCGATTGTTCGGGAGAGACATAGGCCTGTACCGTCTACGCTCCTTTTGGTCTGTGTTGTATTAGCCAATATGTATGAGTTGTAGTCGTCTCTCAATGATTATTTGTTTTTGAGCTCGATACATGTGTGCTACATGAGTACCGGGTGTTCGCCCTAGAAATGGCTCGGCTCAGGTGTGCTCAGGAGAGCTCCAGAGTACTCTGGAGAAGATACTCGGGGCTACTCCAGAGTGCTCGCCGAGCAAGCGGCTGTGTCTCTGGAGTGCCTGGGAGGCGCCGGCCAAGCTCTCGCGGCTCCATAAAAGGGTACTTGTCTCACCGTGCTCCGACTGCTCTGGAGGCTCCAGAGCCACCAGATTGCCCCACAATCACTGAAGGACTCGCTTATAAGTGTGACATAAATCCCTGATGTATTCGCTTATTTGCCCTCATTTGAGCTGGTGTTCAGTTACTGATGTTCTTGCTCATTTGAGCCATTCATCAGTTCTTGATAGATCTACTCATTTGAGACGCTCCTCAGTTGGCAGTACCTTTGTTCAAATGAGACCCATACACATTTTGATATAGCAAGGCTTGTATCAAATGCTAATGCTTCTTGATCATTTGAGCTAAGCTGGTAACTGACTGATTGGCTTGATTGAGCTACACTATTTATTGAGACTACTAGTCATTTGAGCTAACCTAGTCACTGACTGCTTGGCTTGATTGAGCTAAGTCAGTCACTGATTGCCTGGCTTAATTGAGCTAAGCTGGTTGCCGAATGCCTGGCTTAATTGAGCTAAGCTGGTTGCCGAATGCCTGGCTTGATTGAGTTGTTCCTGTTTCTGATGGCTGACCTTGATTGAGCTGTTCTAGTTTCTGATGGCCTCGCCTTGGTTGAGCCTCTATGATCACTGGGAGGTTAGCTTGTTTGAGACTCTCTAGTTGCTGAAACACTAGTGATTTCTCAACAACTTCTATAGCCACCTGGTCGTGAGAAAACCTTGTGCCTGTAGTTAAAACCATGGGTCCATCATTTTTCACAGGTCTCTTTCACTTCACACTCTACTCTCACAGACAGATCGATACTCTTCCTTACTAGGTTTTCTGCCATGCCTACTCTTTTATCCTTCTTTCATGGATGCACCATTAGTATGGTTGGTGTCGTTGTCTCTGTATGTGTTATGTTCATCACACTATATCAATTTGCTGAGTTACTCTCATAGATTGATGAGGACAAGGACATCATGTATGTCAATACTGGACCAGTGGTTGGTCTGAATTGGGTGGAGAGGAATGAGGAGGCCTTTTTAAGTTCGATGAAGTTGGTGAATAAACCTTCTCCTGTGGAGTTGCTAGATGTGAGTTTCTTAGTGCAGAAGTGTTGCCCCTTTACTGATCCTTGAATAATTCTTAGGACATCTTCTATGAGGTTGGAAACAAAGTCTTTATAAGAGGCATCATTGGAGAAGATGGCATTTTACATGCTGAAAAAGATGAACTCTGTAAAGATGGTCAGAGCTTCCTAAATTCATATTGATCTTTCTCCTTACTGACTGCTCTATTTATAGATTCTGCTTTGAAGGCAGTCATTTTTAACCATGGTTTATGAATAAAGTACAGCTACTGTGCCTCTTCTGATTAGTCAGAACTTCCCAATGTTTCAAAATATGTTTCAACTTGATTCAATAGCTATTGCACAGTCAAACATATTGTAGCCCTAGGCAATCAGAAACATGCCTTGAAAAAGTCTCTCAAGTGAAGTTTTTTTTTTTTCCGAGAGAACAAAGGCACAGAAAGACAGATATACGTTTTTTTTTTAGGGGGGGGAAGAAATATGGGGAAAAGTGAAAATTTGACAAACTTTTGGCTCACAAAAATATGAAAGGTTTAGGGGCAGAAAAATAGAAGGCAGATCTTCAGTATTTTCTTACATTGATAATAAGTCCAAAAAAGTCTCAGGACAGAAATGATGTTTTCTTGTAGAGAAAATGAGATGTTCTTACATAGTTGAGGCTTAGAACTGCTCTCTCATAGAAGAGACCAACTAAGAAACTAGTGTTGATCTTTTGCAAGATTCTTTTGAGAGAAACATTGAAAAATGTTTTTGTCCCTTCATCAGTGCATTGTTGTGTGAACTGCCTAGAGGCTCTTTTTTATTATTATACCAAGGCCAAGGGCGATCATGGTAAATGATTGTAGTTCAGTTTGGGAAACCAAAAGAGTTTTAGTAGGCTTTTCATTGAAAGTCTTCTAGACTAACATTGAGAGGCATCAATTTTGGGGACCACTATTTGAACATAAAGACGGAAAGTAGAATTAGGAAGGCCTTCTCAGATTTATTAAAAACATAGACATGATTGATTCAAGTCAACTATCTAAAGCTGATAATGAGGGCATTTCTGAACAAAGTCTCTATGTGCATTATCGGCAAGCTTCTCCCAAGTAGCTGCCTGACCATAAGCATATACTTGATGTCCATGAAGTCCCTCATCATCCAGTCTGGTAAGCTGTGCCCTAGACTTCCACTCCTCAGCCTTATTCTTATGGGATCTGACAGTGCATGCCATCTCGAAAGGCACCCACAAGAGCTCCTCTTCCCATCTGCATTTTCGTTCATAGGCTCTAAGCCACATAGACTTTTTGACTTCACTTTGGTTAGTAAAGATCCAAAACTTTATAAAATACTCCACTTACTTGATTGAACAAAACTAGCTCTTTCCTCTATCCCACCAGAAAAACTCCAGATCCAAGAACCATGTTCATTTCTTAGCCCTGAAGTAGATGGTTCCATCAATACGGGGTTGGCCTTCAGGTCTTGACTTGTCAGTTCAGGATATAAATCCATTCTTGCACTATGGGCCTTTGTATCTTCTTCATCCTCTTTGTCATATAGGTTGAATAAAGATTGTCTAGCTCCAGTGTAGAACCGAACATGTCTCATAAGCGCTTCACTTGCCACTTGAACATCTTTTTGAGATCTCAGCCTAGTTCTGTAGGATGATGGATTTTTGACCCTTCCTTGATAGAGATAGGTTCTTGCCACTATTCCCTCTCTAATAGCTGTGATGCAGTCATTCATCTCGGCTACTCTGAGCTTGATTTCCTTTTGAACCAAATCTACCCGTTGGATTTTCTTCATGTACGGAAAACCTAAGGTAGAGGGCATAGCAGCAGGCTGTTTCTCTGGATTCCATGGCTCTTCTGAGATTGTTGTGAGGTTGCTGTGGTTTGGGATTTCCTGTTGTCCTAAAAGCTCATCCTGTGCTATTTCTTCCTCATCATCATCCCAAGCTTCTCCAAGACTTGACACCCCTGGTAGGCTTTCAAGAATTTGATACCCTTCCAGGTTGTAACGAGAAAAGCCTTTGAGATTGAAGTCTTTAAGATCTGATTGAAGTCTTTGTCTTTTCTGAGCGAGATTAAGCTTTGCCTTGTCAGAAGGATTGGGACCAAGTTTCCTAGCACAATGAGCCACTTCTAGTCTGCAAAGGAACTTTTATTAGAGGTTCAGAAAAACAGAAATATAGTAGTTTGTTTTCCAAGAGAGCTTCTTATGTTCAAAGAGACTTATGAAGAAATGGTTGTTTATAATAGCCTTAGGCTAGTTCAAGCAACCACCTTTGAATACCAACCAAAAGATGTTGATAAACTTACCTTCTATGTTCAATGAGTATTCCTTCTGAAAGCCATGAGGCATCAGGGGAGGAAACAGCTTGAACATCACCCCTTGCTGAGGCCTTCCCTTCAGCTAGAATCATGTGGTGAGCAGTCTCCTTCAGAGTTGGAACTAAATAAAAATCAGACTTTTGAATTAGATTAGAAGTCTAGTGACTCACGAAGTGCTTCCTCAGCATTAAAGATATCCATGCTTTCAGAGCTCTCATTTAATTCCCTCTGTCTATGAGCTTCTTCAGCCTCTTTCTGCCAGTCCTTCCTTTCAGCTTCTGTAGCTCCTTTGTTGAACCTTTCAAAGGCCTCATTTGCTGCCTTGGACTCTATGATAGCCCTTTTCCATTTCCCAATAAGGGTGTCAGCTACAAAGGATTTTCATCATCAGTTTATATAAAACTTTAAGGATGTTGAAACTTACGCATTTTGAGTAACTTCTTCCAGTTCCAATCTGTCATGTTATCATCTAGAACCTCATGTCGATGGGAGTCTGTCATTCCTCTTGTGCTATCCTTAATAGCATTGACAGCATCTGGCCATAAGGTTTCCATGGTTTCACCATCTTGAGCACCAGCATGTTTGACAAAGTTGAGAGAAAACCTGGAGAAGCACTTGTTTATATGCCCATGTACATGGAACTGTCCAATAGACCACAGAAACCTTGCAGTTTCAGGGAGGTATATTTCGGAGTACTGATTGAACCTTTTGCGCATATTGATGTGATATTGACAGACAATGTCATAGATGAGAATGAAGAGAGCAACTCCAGGGAAGGCCTGAAAAGCCCAAAATAGACAGTAGTCCATGTTCCTTTGGCTTCAATACAGTATATTAACGGCACAGTTCAAAAAGAGCAAAATATAAACCCACGCTTCTCCTAATTGAAGATCCACACATGTGTGAGGGAGAAATATGCCATGTCTTGAACATGCAGCAGCACCTATGCCTGTAACATCCAGATGGCTCTTAGATTTTGAACCATGATTGTTTTGAGCAGCCTTATGGTCGTTGCATGTAACCTTGATAGTCTGTTTGAATATAATCTTTAGAAGCTTACAAAACAAACCTCAAGCCTAGACCAACCTCTATAGTATTTTTGGAAGCATCAACCAGATGTTTCTTGTAAGGTTGATCAGCAACTGTAATAAGATGACCCTCTGCCAAAGGCACATTATTCCCAGAGTCTTTCATTCTAGTGTGCTGGGCTGAAAAAGAGGCATCTGTAACAATTCCTATAGGGAAGTTTTTCCTTTATGAAGTCAGTTCAAAGCTTTGGTCAGAAAGAGAGCCCCAGCTACCTTTGGCTCTCAGAAGTCCATTTCTCTGGAGTATTAACTCCAATGAATGGACATGTTGGGCATCTTAAAGCTAAAGACCCTGGCTGGATGGGTCCGTCTTGATAGGCCACCCCTCCATACATTCTCCACTTGAGCACTCTATACTGTCTTGTAACTCTCAAAAAGGACT